CGTTAACCGCGCATACTTCTCGAAAAATAAAAATGAAAAAATCAATTAAATATTTCAGTGTAGAGAATAGACAATTAAAATTAAAAAACATGCAACTAACAAAAACATGCCAGGAGTTACAAACAAGAATTAAAAAAATACCAATAAAATATTTATTGAACAATATAAAGAGGCTACTGTACAAATTATGCCCATTAATGGGCGTAGCAAATTATTAATATTCAAATTTCACAAATTAATAAATCCACAATTTTTTTTGAGAAACTTCTATTTTTTTTTCATGGCAGGAAACAAAGTAGGTACCGCATTGTATTTTATACGGTTACAAAGTGAATTGGTAAACATTTTAAATTCAAAGTGAACAGAACACAACCTGTACTTGTGGGCCTTATTTATATCTTCAATCAAGTCTTCTCCGTTAGCTGCAATTGCCCATGTTTTTGCCCTAAAAATGTATTGTTAACTTATTTTCGATATACTCATTTTATTTATTTTTATAATTTTATTTATATTAATAATATAATTATTTTTAAATTTAATGTTGAATGTCTAGATACAACATTAAATTTTACTAAATATTTAACATTTTAATCTTGCTAATATTTTATATACATATAGGGTGAGTCTTGAATAAGTGCAAATATTTTCAGGGGTGGTATATTTCGACCCCAGGAACACGTTTATGAGTTTTTTTCGCTAAAAAAAGATATTGAAAATCGTGCATTTTCTTTTAACTTCCTGTATATATTTTCGAAAACTTTTTTAGAACTGCCTGTTCACCGCAAATTTTCCCACGGTATAATTTCTTAATCTCTGATATTACCATAGTTACGGCTTTACTCTATGGTTGCGGCACTAAAAGGGATGCAAATACAGAAAAAATCCGGTGGCTCTCAACAGTCTCAACTCAACATTTAAAAAAAAAACATTTTTTTTTTAAACTTAAATAACTCGGTTATTTTGGATTTATCTGAAAAAGTAAGGAGGAAATATGTTTCTTTTATCGAGATCTGCCAGCCCTGAAAATATTTGCACTTATTTAAGACTCACCCTGTATGTAAGTTTGTTAACATTTAATATAGATGCTGAACTTGTATATTTTTAATTAGATCTTTCTATTTAGCTGAATGTCCTAATATGTATACTACTGTTTTTTTAACTAAAATATGTTAAAATAATTAATCACCTATGTATATACATACCTAATCGGATCTCTAGGAAACAGAAAGAAACTTTTATTGCAGTTTAGTCCTCTACTCGGGCAGTTTTTTGCTGCACAACTTCGCCCAGGCATTTTAAAAACACGTAAAAATTAACGATTTAAAAATGTTCAGAAATACAAAAATAAATTATATAACACAAGAAACGAAAATAAACTAGAAAAACCAAATATATAACACAATAAACAAAAATAAAACAACAACTATAAAATATAACTCAAGAAATAAACAAAATAAATTAATCCGTACGCTACTGACTCGAATCAGCCGAAAGTGTGCGCAGTCGATGAAAGAAACTACGACACTGGTTACTTTCTGTTGATGGAAACCCTAATGGCGGCGTGCGCGACGGTATGCGCGTAGCGTTCCTGCCAAAGAGAGTTAGCCTGCCGTGTGATTTATATGCCGTGATAAGATTGTGTCCTCCGTTTTTCTCTAAAGCCTGTCATTTTTGACATATGACACAAACATATGTTTTTTTAAATGGAAACCATAGTTGGCCATGACTTCATAAAAAGGGCCATTTTTTAAGCTTTTCAGCGATATAAGATATAATATGTTTTCTTCGAAAAATTACTGAGTTATAGACAATTCTTATCATTTTTAAACAATTTCACTTAGTTAGCCATGGAAACAAGTTCAATCGCCGTTGCTCTCAGAAATGTGAAGCTGTCACATCCAAACTTTGTAAATTAAAATAAACAAAAATTGTAAATATGAATTTTTCAAATGAAGAAAAGCGTGTAGATACTCGCGCATCAATAGAGTGGTTCCAACATGACTTTCATTATGACCCCCCCCCATAATGAAAGAAATGTTAAACATTATTTATATCATAATTATGTACTCAGGGATAGAAAGAGGTGGACCAATTATTGCATGGGCCTCCTCGATCACCTGACCTATCCATTTCAGATTTTTTTATGCGGTGGTTAACATTTTATGGTTGACAAGAAGGTTTACAAAAAACCTTATGAATTAAGAGAGGCACTCGAAGTGGCGGTACGAGAGAAGTTTAGTTAAGTCGACCGGTCCTTCTGTGAGAATAGGTAGTAATTCAGTTTTAAAAAGAGGCAACTCAAAATAATGGCGGATTTTTTGAACATTTTCTAAAATAACTTAAAGTGTATGTAGTGATATTATTTTTTTAAGTTTTAGTTTGTGTAATGTAAATTGTAAAGAACCGTTTAATAAAATATTCTGACTTTTTATAAGTTATAAATCATAACAGAATAAGAATACCATGCAATCTACGTGAAATTAACCAAGAAAGATAAGAATTTGGTAATAACTGATTTAACTTTTCTAATGTCTTGAAAACCGTTCTCTAAAAAACGCAACATTCACCGGTCAACGTATCCTCGAAAATGTATGGTCAAGAAAAGTTGAACCAATAATCCTACACGTTTTTCTTCAGTTGAAAAATTCATATTTACAATTTTTGTTTATTTTAATTTACAAAATTTGGATGTGACAATTTGATATTTCTGAGAGCAACGACGATTGAACTTGTTTCCATGGCTAAGTGAAATTTTTTAAAAATTATAAGAATTGGCTATAATTTTTTGAAGAAAACATATTATAGCTTATATCACAGAAAAGCTTTAAAAATGGCGCTTTTTATGAAGTCATGGCCAACTATGGTTTCCATTTAAAAAAACATATGTTTGTGTCATATGTCAAAAATGACAGGCTTTAGAGAAAAACGGAGGACATAGTCTCATTAGGGATGTGATTATCTACAACTTTTATCTGAAAACTTTTTGTCTAAAATAGCTTATAATGGAATTAGGGACAATTTTTAAAATAGCCGAAATTTGTTTTTTTCGAAATATCTAGTAAGCCATGAACTTTTTCAAAAATCTGAAAGGCGCATGTTTATGACCCCATAAAACTGCAATTCTTTCCCCATTTAACCGACTCTCTATCTCCAGTAGTTTCCGAGATACCCATAGAGAGCATCGTAGGAAACTCACCCTGTATATTTAATTTATGTTTTATAAATTTCATACTAAAATTATCTATTTTTATCTGTTGAATTTAGTACTTTATTTTTTATTATTTAAAAATTTTAGATGATAAAAAATTAACAATTTAATATTAGTTTAAGTAATATTTAGAACTTCAAAAATTTTATACAAATTTTATGTTTCACCTCTAATTTTAATGAACAACTAGTATCAGCAATCGATTCGTTCTATTTCCTTCCTCTAAAAATATAAACCATCTTAAAAATTTCGACACACACCAAATCATGTGAAATATAGAAAAATAGAGATAATGTTATATATGGCCTAAAATGTCTAACCTAACAGACAATTGTAATGGCAACACTTGTAATAAATATTCCTAAATAAAATTAATATCACAAAAATAATTAAAAATAGCCAATAAATGACAATAAATTTGTAAAAACTGCATTTATTATATAGAATGTTATGTTCCCTTGTCAACACAATATATGAGAAATGACAACAAAATACACTCACCAGCACGAAAAACGGGCAACCCTAAGGAATATTGAAATTATAGATATGAAATTTATCGAGCCGGGACACACACACATGCAATGTGATTCCATGCATGCTACAATCGAACATGCAGCGGAATATGCCAAAATCTATTGGCCTAATGATTGGGTGAACATCATTAAGTTGGAAGCTAAAAAGAAGCCCTATAAAGTGAAGACACTTGATCATACTTCATTGATTATAAAATCTCAGAACCCTACAGAAAATACTTTAAATTTGAAGCAAGTAAAGTGGATTCGAGTAGAAAAATCCAAACCCAATACGATATTATATAAAAATGATTATTGGGAAAAAGATTTTTCCAGTGTTTCAACAACTTCTAGTGATCGCAAAACAAAAAACACAACCATAAATGTTCCAACAATCCTATATCCCGAAAAACTTCCTATAAGCAAGTTAAAGTATGACAATTTATTGTCTATGTGTCAGGACAAATCCCCTCGGAGTACAAGAATTTCTATTCTTCTCTAGCAGTAATAAATACACCCCATGCTCAAAGCTGACGACGAGATGTCTCTACAGCAAGCAGCAAGTAAGATAAGAAATTATAAAGAGGAAAAGACGAAGAAATTAACTTAAGAAATAAAACTTTTTGTTAGTTTTTGAATAAAGCATTAAACTTTTGGTATATACGCCTTTTATTTAAAACAGAATGACGCAAATTGTCTCGTATATCCTAATATCAGAAGGGCGTAACAACCAAATATGACAGGTAATACCGATTTTTACTATCGAGCAATTGCCTATCAAATTGTAATGTTTTTATCCTACCACAGTGAAAAAGTCAACAATTTTCGTAAAAATTTTGATTTTTTAAACGTTTTTTACGTCTCCTGTAAACTTTACTTTTTGGTTCATGCGCCCTTCTGATATGACGCCCTCGATATGATAGTGTCATTTTTTGAAAATCAGTAAACTCTATTTCATAGGTATGTTGATGAGGGCCAAAAGCAAAGGCATGCTTTTAATGCTAAAAATGCTGTAAATCGTTACTGTCTTCTTCAAAAGCGAATATCTTTAATAAATATAAAGCTACTGAGATGAACCAAAACAAACTATCGACAAAAGATGTGTCTAGAAGATAAAATAATTTTTAAATTCCTTGCTTTGTTAACATATTCCACAGAATGTTTTAAACTTAAACCAAAATATCAACATTTTGTTTTTCCTCATATAATTGACAGATTGGAACTTTCATTTTGAATTTAGAAAGAGATACTAAAAAGCGAAATAATTTAGCTACAAATTGCTTAAAAAATCATCAAAATTGGCCCACTAGAACAAAATATGTTAAATTTTAAAGAACATCAAAATTTTAAGGTGCCCGTATTTCGTGCCAGTGAGTGTATATGACACACAAAAAAATTACAACACAATATATGAGAAACATGTTTTATGATCAAACCTTCTTGATAGTACGATGTTTTTTTTAAGCAATGCGTTAAAAAAATGAAGCTATAAAACAATAAAGAAGATCAATCTTATATTAAATATTAAAATTATCTTACTAAACTATTTAAAATAAAATTTTATCCTTTGTATAATAGATTCATATCAACTCCATTTCAAAATTCCATGTTTATTTTCTTATTAATTTTGTATAATACATCATACCGGTTATCACATTACTTCATTAACCCCAATTTACAAATTTTATTCCAACCGTTTTTCCCTTACAATCTAAATCACTTGTCAACAAATTCAATTAATACATATTTAGTGATTAAATAAATATAATATTTACAGAAAAGCGATCTAAAATTAATTTAAAAGCAATCCTACAATTTGAACGTTAAGGTAGTTTTATACCTCATCAAACTTATTTCATAAGAAGATGTATAAGTTTCTAAAAAGTATATAGAAAAATAAGTTCACGTAATTAATTTTATATTAGGCCAAATTTATTCTCCATTAACTTCATCGTACTGGGCAAATTTCAGAAACACTTGTTCTAACGTTGTTTGGCTAAAACTATATTCTTCAATTTCTAGTTCCAGTTTTGCTAAAAAATACACTCATGAAAGAGAAATTTCGGAAACAAATATAAATAGGTATTCACCTTTTTCAAGTTGCATAAAACAATTAGCTAAAGATGGAACACTTTGTTGAGGGACACTGAAGACCAACCTATCTACAAAGGTTTCCTGTAGCGTTGCATCAGGGAACAACTCTAAAATCAACAAAAAATATTAGGAACGCATATCACTACTAAAATATAGTCTTGGTCTAACATAATCTTTAAAACTGAAAATTTACACGGCGTTTTTCGATTTGTTTATCACTAGTCATTATTTATCAAATAAACAATGCTGGAAGTACACACACGCCTAGAGGACTCGAGGCGCCACAAAAAATGCGAGGTTCAGCTAGGCGCCCCGAGACATTGCGCAAAAACACGCCAATAAAATTTTGCCAGTACATACCTAAATAAATATATTCTGAAGAATAATTTTGTAAAAATAAAAACAATCAGGCGCTTAACGAGATAAGTTTAAAAGCACTTTTGGGAGCATTTGGGCAAATTTTTTTTAATCCAATTTAAAACCGACCTGAATGCCGAGAAAATAAAAAAAAAACAGTGAAACCGACAAAATCAAATTACATATATTAGTTTCAAAGAGAAAAAGATAAATCCGCCTGAGGTTATTTTTGTTTTCATTTTATTTTTGGTATTTTACAGAGGCATACTCATCTACGCTTTGTTTTTTGATCCTTGGCTGTTACGTCATAGAAACTGACAAGGATCGAAACAAACTGTATTTTCGATTTTATGTTGCCGAGGTGGGGTGTATTAAAATTAAAAAAAAACATAATGCTGCATAAAAACGTAAAATATTTGCTATTTTACCTAATAATATTAAAACAATTTTACATTATAAAATATAAATCTTTACTTTTAACTGAGGATAAAAGAGACTAATCAGTAATTTTATAATCAGAGTAGTAGTGCTTATGTTAATGATAACAAAAAAGCGAAAACAGTGTCTAGAAAGTCTGTATCATAATATCTTTCATGTACAGGGTGGGTCAAATTCGACGCTTTTAAATGGAAACACCCTTTTCTATAGGAGATAGACGAAAACTAAGATCGGTGTCTGGAGCTCAATTTTCATCAAAAACATGATGGTGAAAACCGCACATCAATATCTGTTACCGTTTCGGAGTTACGGGGTGTTTTTCAAAAATGTGCATTTTAACAAATCGCTGTAACTTTTTTGCTATCGAAAATTTTGTATTTCTATAAAAACATTTCCAAAGCACTTTTTTACCTAGAATTTAATGGTTTAAGTATAATTTTTTTAAAATTAATAATTTAAGAGTTATCAACAGAAAAATTGATTTTTTATTTGGGACACCCTCTATATTTTTAATTAACTGAAAAGAATTTAAAATTACCTTTTCAAAAATATAGTACACTTGATATTTTGTTATAATCCTCTTCGAAATACAGAATTTTTAAAAGTTCGCCACTTTAAACTAGTAGGCTTTGGACCCTTTATTGATGATATGCCCTTAATGGAACTCGAAAACATATTTTTCCAGCAAGACGACGCACCGCCTCTGATCGCTGTTATCAGCAAATTTTTGCATACAATTTCAAGAGTAATTGAATAGCCAACCAAGATTCCAGCCGTTGGCCGTCGAGGCCGCCTGACTTAGTGCCCATGGATCTAATCCTATCGATATATTTGCGGAAAAATAAAGGTTCCTTGTTCTTCCGTATAATCTAGACAAGAATTAGAATTACTTAGCAGTTATGAGAGGGTATCTTTCACCGAGTTAATGAATTCCGCGAGAAATGTTCAAAAACTGCCCCGTCTGTCCATAACAGAAGACGGTCGATATGTCGAACACCTATAGCAAAATCTCATGTCTTGGTTTGCTATTTCTTTTTCTTGTTATTAGATATAGTTTAAATGTGTTGATGTTGATTAAATATATTTTAAATAGTTATAAAATTCTGCATCTCTCATAGCAAATATTATTTTCGTTTTAATTGATGCTCACAGCTAGATTTTTTGCATTACAGCCGGTGCCGTTCAAAGCCTACTCATTTAAAGCGGGCGAATTTTTATATACTCTATATTTCGAAGAGGAATCCAGCAAAATATCAAGTGTGTTATATTTTTGGAAAGGTAATTTTAAATTATTTTCAATAAATTAAAAATATACAGGGTGTCCCATTATAAAAAAATTATACTTAAACCATTAAATTCTACGTAAAAAGGTGCTTTGGAAATGTTTTCATAAAAATACATAATTTTCCATAACAAAAAAGTTACAGCGATTTGTTAAAAGTGCATATTTTTGAAAAACACCCCGTAACTCCGAAACGGTAACAGATATCGATATGCGGTTTTCACTATCATGTTTTTGACAAAAATTGAGCTACAGACACCGATATTAGTTTTCGTCTATCTTCTATAGAAAAGGGTGTTTCTTTTGTCATTTTGGCCTTTGATTGTCATCCGTCAAGAGAACTTATTGTGGTTAGAAATCAAAAGTTGGTTGTTTTATAAGCTAAATATTAGGCTTTCTCTGTGGATACAACTGACTACAGCAAGTTATTGCCAGAAGATTCTATTAATTTTAATTGTGTTTTTTAGACATTGTGAATGATCATAAACTAAAAAGTATAAAGTGTAATTGAAGCCACTAATTTATTCCACTAATTGCGAGGTTCTGAATGAAGCTTTAGCACAGATTATACAGATTATAAACTTTGTTTTTTCTTTATTGTTTTTCGTGGTTCCAATTTTCGGAATCGGGCACTAGTTAGGTTACTAGTTTGCGCACATAGCACGCCCACTTATTGCCTCTAAAATTGTGCACAGCGCCTGACCGGCACAGTTATTAGAGATATATCGGACAACCGAATAGCGTCATGCAGTATTTACGCGTACCTTATCTTATCATGGTTACGATATACGCGAGTCAATTTTTAACCCTACATCCGCTAATAACGTTACCGCTTGACGTAATTTGCGGATCAATTACACCAAGCGCTATTTCTAAATAACGTTTAAAAATTGCTTAAATGGGCATGTGCTGGTATTTGACAACCGGGGCCGGCCGGCGAGATCTTTTATTTTAGGTTATGTTTGAATTGTTTTGAATTATTACTTTAGTTTTATTAGGTAACTTGATATTTAAGTAGCTGAGATTAGTTTTAATTAAATAAATATGGCCCAAAATATGGATTCCACCTCTTCCAGTATTAAAGAACATATAAAGAGGCTTAGGTTTACAGCAGATGACGACTTAGCCCTTCTAAGCGAATTTGTTGCTTGTTGCCCTAAACCCACTGGCAGACGTTGAACAATAAAGCACTGGAAATAAGCACTTTAACCCTTTAGTTTTAAAATACCTAGTAAACAAAACAATTTTAAAGTTTTAAAATCCATGTTAGGTTAAGTTTAAATAGCGGACGCGACGCGAACAGAATTCTTTCCGATCCGATGACTATAAATGAAGAGAGTTAATACCACCTCACGTAAAGGAAATAACACCTGGTCTTGTTAACGTCCATGCATGCTATTCGGTTTAGCGATATCTCTCTATTACGCTCTTTATTGTTATTTTACGCGAGTTTATTTTTGCGCACAGGAAATTTTACTCGTTTGAACATCGTCATAAAAAACAATTTTCGTACCACGAATTAGGGATAAGATTTTTATCTGTATACATATAGTATACCTAGTCTGTGGCTTTAACTCAGATCGCAACGTCATGGAAATATCTTATTTTGTCATTTTTGTTTGACGTTTCACTTGACACATTTAAGTTCAATTTAAATTTGCGGATTTATTGCAATTTTTATAGTTTATTTTATTACTGATAAGGCATTGGTTAAGATTTGAATTACGGTGAGATTAACGGTCAATAAACCTTAGCAAATGACTTGACATGGAAAAACTTTTCACTAGTGGGTAATCGTAATATACAGGGTGTCAAAAAATAGTGTACCTAACTTCGGTGGGTGATTCTACAGATAAAAATTAAATAAAAAGTTCCTATGAACATATGCTAGGGCAAAAGTTACAGCACTTGAAAGGGTAAATAAAAATAATATATTTTGCTTATTTTTAAGAACATTGGTAAACAGTTGTTCTTGAAATTTGGTACTCTTCCACATATTTTAATGCCAAAGTAAAGGGCGAAATATAAATAGTGTAAAATTCTGTAACAACCCTCAAAGGGTACTTTATATTAAAGTAGAGAGTACAACTAGTCATACTTTTTTATCGTTAGTACAGTAATACAGTAATTTCAATGAATTATGTCATTAAATTACATAAAATGGCTTTTACATGCTTTTTATGTCACCCACTTTTTAGAATCACCCACCAAACTTATATATACTATTTTTTGACACCCTGTATATAGGGTCTTTCAAAAAGCATGTGTCATCTCTCGTTCAAGTAAAAATGAGATTTATTTTTCATCCGGTCCGATTCTGCTTTGTTTCGTAACTACAGGAGGTTAAAACATCTTTTTTTATATTTATTATAAGGTTCTTCCAAGTGTTTTTAGCGATTCGATTAAAATTTGAAGGGTAAAAGTTACTATGTTACTAGTGCTACATATTGTAAATACATAAATTGTATTGTATCTAAAAAAAAGTCCTCTAAAAAACGTGTGCGTTACTGACTTTTTTCTTTTGTTGGCAAAATTGTGTCGATCGATAAAAATGCTGATTAAATTCTCATCTCTCCATTTCGATCTCCTCGATGAGACCTACGCAATATTATTAATCGTAATAATTAATTAAATAAAATAAAATTAATAAATTATTTATTTAATGTAATTTTTTAATAAATTTAGAACACTGATGTACAGGGTGTCCCACTAGGAATAGCTCTCGGCTGTATCTCGGAAAGTATTAGCCTTACGAAAAAAAAATTTTGTGACTAAAGGGGCTATGAGAAATTGCTGGAAATTATTTTCAAGTTTGTAAAACGGCCGCTAGGGGGCGCAACTGCTATGGAAAATAAGAAAATAGAATTTTTACAGAATATTGCCTAGATAATGAGTACTATAAATAATAGCTTCATAAGCATCAGTAAATTTTGGATTTTTTTTGTTAGAGCCATTTTCCCCTATCTGCTAAAATTAAGTGGTGGGGGGAGGTTAGATCTATCTTTATTTAAATGTTAATAACTCCGGACTGGATGATCAGAATCCAATAAACGAGGGCTCGTTTAAAAGAGCGTTGCTTACTCTATATTATACCATAAAAATAATAATAATAAAGTTTTGAACGTAGACGCTAGGTGGCGCTTTCTTACAATTTAACAAACATAGCGCGTTTTTTTCAAAAAAAATAAATACAATAGTATATGTAATTTTAGCTGATAGTAAAGAGTAGTAAAAGCTTAAAAAGTCAGCGAAAACCGCATCTTGATCTCTTCTTTCAAACCGAAGATATTAGCAAAATTATAATAAATACCAAAAAATACGCCCTTAATTACCTTGTTTTTACAACACGATATCAGTAGCCCTCTTGATTATGCCCATTTTAACGAAAAATAAGATAGAAACAGTTAGTTTATTTTAAAATCGACGAAATACCAGAGTACCATAATACCAGATGTATTAATATCTAATAATTAAGATATTAATAACAGTGAACAAGAAACGATGATTCAGTGAAGTCATTGTAGGCTTTGGAAAAAAGTTGCTTTTGACGTAATAGTATAAACGTCAAATTGTTATTAGATCAACATTTTGGTAGTCTTAGCAGTGTTTTTTTTTTATCTTTTAATTGCTTTTTCAAAATTCCTTTATTATTTGAAGTAGTTGAAGTTGTTGGCATTTTGAAAAAGCATCAAAAGACTATCAAAATAACACTAAAGACAGTTGTCAGTTCAAGAAAATATTATATTATACCGTATGATCGAAAAATAACGGCGTCAGCGATGGCTATGAAATAAAGATCGCTGTCATTTTATATGTAAAATTTTATGGGGAATGTCATCGATCGTCATTTCCAAGCTAACTGGACGGCGATCATACGGTACAACACACCATTGTCTGCCATTTTCAAAAAAATATCTAATAGTTTTTGGAATTACCTAATACAAACTCCTTTAGTTGTTCCAGTCTGTCACCTGTTTCTGAAGTGGGAGTAGATTCCCCACCTTTTAGTTTCATTTCTAGTGTATATCCAGCACCATAAAGATTCTTTAAGTGTTGCGTAGAACCTAAACATCTAAATTGGAAGAATATTATGCAGTTAAGTAATAATCTTAATTCATGTCTTCATAGTCTGTTCGTAGATAACTATCATACGAGATCATATTATAAGTACCTTAATTCTCCTTTAACCATGATGCCTACTCTCGAACATAAAGCATCTGCTTCTTCCATTGAGTGCGTAGTTAAAATTGCACCTCTTGATCCCTAAAAACCAATTACAATCATTTCAGAGAGCACTTCTAGATTAAGGATTCATTACCTGAAAACTAGCAAGTATTGTGTCCCACAGGAATCTCTTACTTCTTGGATCCATGCCAGTACTGGGCTCATCGAGCAGCACTATTTTTGGATTTCCTATCATAGACATGGCAAAACTAAGTTTCCTTTTTGTGCCGCCCGAACACTGTTTCACTTGCTTATCAACGTGGTCATGAATCTGCAAACCGCTAAAATCGAAATGTAATTAGTTACTGAGTATCATTTTAGTTAAAAAATTGAATAGGTACTTTATATAGTTATTAACAATTCTATCGATATCCTCATAAGGGACCCCTCGAATCGCAGCATAAATCTCTAAATGCTCGCGTACTGTTATATTTCTCCATAAGGCGTCATGCTGAGGACAATACCCTAGTAATTGAAAAGCAGAATTCAGATTGGAAGTTATACTTTGTCCACCAATATAAACCTGAAAAAAACATTAAAATTGAGACACTTCTCATAAAATTTTATATATGAAAATAAAAAGAAATATGTTAGTTGTGATGATAATCTTACTTTTCCTCTTGTTGGAGCTTCTTCTGCAGTAATAATTTTCATTGTAGTGGTCTTTCCAGCGCCATTATGACCTAATAATCCAAAAACTTCCCCAGCATCTACCGCTAATGATAACGATTTTACAGCAACCTTAATTTTCTCTTCTTCGTCATCGAATTTACAACATGACGATCCTTTAGTTTGATTTTTATATACTTTGTTTAAGTTCTAATAGTAGAAGGAAAAAAATAAAAATATATAGGTATAGGCATTTTGATTTGATTGTACCATTGCGATAAAAAAAAGTAGTACAAGAATTAGTAGTCCCAGATAGAACTACTGGTCTATAAGGATATCGAGAAGTGGATATCGTCGAACAATACAATTATGCCACCTAACTTTTTAGGCGTTACCATGAATTTGGTAATAATTGGTAGGTATACGTGGCGAATTAAAAGTAAAAAATATACCTACCTTTTAAAAATGGGCAATTTTTCAAGTTTTTTTTATTTTATTATAGACCAGTAGATTAAATCATATTTTGTTGTACTACTTTTTTTGATCGCAATTACCTGTTTATAAGAAATAAGTATTTAATATATTTTTTAAATAATTACCTGAACCATTACAACTGGTGGAGTCCCATCGTGCATAGCTGTTAGATTGAGAACTTTGTTTTTTTCGTCTTTAACGTCTTGGTCCTCATTTGTGCCAACGTCTGAATCAATAATCTCACTAATATCTTCAGTTTTATTCTTAAAAGTGAGAACAATGAATTAATTCAACAAATAATAGTATCTATAATCCTAACAAAAATGCTTCAAACTAGGGGCGGCTGATACATAAGCGCTGCAGGATTCCAAGAAAAATTTATATTTTGTCCTAAAGGAACTTAGGATAAAATATAAATATTTCTAGTTTCTCTATTTTTTTTTAATTTAACCATATAGTTAAAACCGCGCAAGCAAGCGATCTACATGTACTGTCTCATTTTATTCACATTACATCGGTAAAATATGTTTATAACATAACACTTTGATAAAATAGTAGAAACGGTTATATGAATATTGATGTTTTTTTTATGAAATTTCAATTTTCTTCTTACAGTATAACTTTTATTGCCTCATTGCTTGGTTGATATTTTCAATAGAGTTTAATGTTGAAAAGTTCATTGTATACCAGAAAGTGGCTCACCCCTATAACTTTTTTATTTTAATAATTATATTTTCTGATAAAAAAAAACTAAAAAACTTTTTAATGTTATTATATGATATAGTCTAATGGTGCGTTTCGACTTGAGCACGCACGAGCTGAGCGTGAGCGCACGGCATTCGTTCGCGCTCTCGGCTCCGTTCAAATTAAAAACTTATTTTTCGACGAATGAAGTGATCCACTTGTGCGCACACAGCAGAGTTGTGTTGGTGAAAATAATGGACGACCAAGAAATAGTCGGGGCTGCAATCATTGTTATGCGCAGCTTAATTATTAAAAAGAAGAAAAATCGAAAACATCGTTGCTGGTGGCAAACCCAAATGTTTAGAATTCGATATAATTTACTGCAACAACTTAGTGTCTGAGGAGGGCTCAGGAACTCATGATCAGTTCAAAAACTTTACAAGAATGACCAGGCCCGACTTTGAATATTTACAAAATTTAATAACACCAAAAATTACGAACAAAAGATACAAATTTTAGAATAGCAATTTCATTAATATCGACATATTCAATATTAATTTTATTTACAAGGTCTTGCCATGCGTTATTTTTTTTGTTGTTTTTTAATAATACGAAGAATGTTTAACGTCCCATAATAGAGGCAACTTTTCATATTCTTCAATTAATAATAACGAAGATTCATTGATCCATTCCATAATTTTAATAAAGAAATCGAAAAAAAATCACGCACGCACGCACGAACGCAGACAAATTACCGGTGCATTCGCGCACACTTTATGTGTGCGCCTTTAAACACCCCAAAAAATCCCTTTAAACACGAACCAAAAATCGACACCAGACGGTTCACGTTCGCGGCTGCTCGCGCACAGACAGATTCAGAGTGAGCGTGTGAGCTGTGCGCGCAGCCGTTTACACTTGAGCATTCGCGAAGGATCAGTGCGTGCGTGCTCAAGTCTAAACGCACCATAAGAGCTAGCAGCGTTTTCGAGAAAGTATTTTAAGAAAGCTGGCTCTTTGATATATCTTTTACTATGCTCTCTGGAACAGCATGCGGCCGAACTCTGACTCTCGGTCTCGAACTCTGACTCCTCGCTTGGTAGGCGGAATCTACGCGCTGCGCTATGGAGACTCGCTCGGTTTATATTCAATACTAGAATTTAAAGGAATAATAAAAATATAGGATTTCTTTCAATGCGCAGTAGGGAACGCAACGTTTACCGGCAGCCACACGGTCCGCATGCTGTTCCAGAGAGCATAGTAAATGATATATTAAAGAGCCAGCTTTCTTAAAATACTTGTTTTCCCGACGTTGCCGTTGGTAGCTCTCGTACTAATATAGATCTAGGATTAATTCTAGGATTAATTGACGTATTCAATTAATCATATCACTTCCTGTTTTACAGGAAATAACAACTTCTGATTTTTTTCGGTATTTTTTACTATATTTGATAGAAAATTAAACACTGTATGGAATGACATATCATATGGCAACTGTTGACATTTTCACTCTGAAAGCAATAAGTAATTTAAATTTCAAGAATAATAGATTTGATCATCTAATGTTTTTCGTGTCTTTTTCTCATTTTTTTTTTTCAAATGATGCCGGTGAAAAAACATTTTTCATGAATAATGTGATACCACATATTTGGTATCCGAGTCATTGTCGTTAAATTTAACATACTATTTTTTAAGCAAAAATCGTAATTTTCTGTCAAATATATTAAAAAAAATCCGAGGGTACCATTTAATAACCAAAAGTTATGGTCATTTCCGGTAAAACAGGAAGTGACCTAAACTAATTGAAGCCAATAAATCCTGATTTATGTCGTCTTAACTAACACACAAAATTTACTTTTTTTAATTGAAAAAATAAAAAAGTTGTAAAGAATAGAGTTCCAAAAAATAGGTGTGAGCCACTTTTGAAAAACATCCGGTATGAGCTATTTATCTCATCTATTATTGACAAACAAACCAAAAAAAAAGAGCCCTTTTGAGATATATTTTTCAGGAACAGTGTTCTGTAATAATAATTTCAAGCTAAATATACAGGGTGGTCCGAATTGTATTCCGGAAACTTCGCCAGCATATTCTGCAGATATAAATAAGTAAAAAAGTTCGTATAAATGTATGTCCTAAAATGCTTGGTTTCGGAGATACAGGGTGTAGAAGTTTCATTTTTATTTCAATTTTTTCCAAATAATTTCTGAAGTAACGTCAATATTTGGATGAAAATTGGTGTCTGGGAGTTTTGTGACACGAGAAATTTGATTTTGATGTCAAAATGACTCCTATTTGTAGGAGGCGCCACCTACACGTGTTTTAACTGTTTTGAAGAGTAATAATTTTTCGTAAAAAATACATTTCCATTACTTTTTACGTAAAAAATGTCTCTTGGTAAAAATCAATAACGGAAATAGTCAATACATGTCATTATTGACAAAAAATAAGCACACATTGAGTATAGCTATTTGGCTGAAATAATTTTTTATTTTTTTAAATTAATCATAAATTTTTCTGCGAAAAAATGATGATTAAACAATTTCCGTTGAACTTTTGGCACAAAAAGATTTCCAATTTATGATTTCAGTTTAATAACTATTTAGTCAACATGTTTAATTATGTCAATGATGACAAGTATTGATTATTTCGATTCCAAATATCTCGAGAACCATTACTCGTAGCGATTTTTACCAAGAGACGTTTTTTTATGTAAAAACAGTCGTAAATGTATATTTTTTACTCAGTAGTTTTAATACAGGTATGGACGAAAAGTTATTACACTTCAAACCAGTTAAAAATATTTGTAGTAGTAGGAGTCATATTGATATGAAAATCAAATTTCTCATGTCAAAAAACGCCCAGACACCAATTTTCATCCAAATATTGACGTTACTTCATAAATTATTTCGATTTTTCGTGGAATCTACACTCTGTATCTCCGAAACTAAGCATTTTAGGACATACATTTATACAAACTTCTTTACTTATTTTAATCTGCGGAATATGCTGGCGAAGTTTCCGGAATACAGTTCGGACCACCCTGTAGAAACGAAAGAGAAAACCATAACTAAGATAAGAAACGGATATAGGCTTAGGTAAAAAAATGCTTACCTTTTGTAAAAATTGGAATGCATCACTTGCCCTGCCACCACTTTTAACCACATCCACGACCCGCAGGAGCATGAACCACAGAGGGATATTAACTATCATGCCCACTAGTAAAATAATTATTTCGGGTGTACAGTAACTAGCTAAATTAAGTCTATCACAGGCTAAATTTATGCTACACAGGCGATATACGCGCTGAATATAGTACAGTATAGCACAAGGTATGTACATGGTGTTCGTTAAGGAGAAAAGGCAGTGAAGGATCATTGCTATTTGTTTACCTAAAATAATATATACAAGTTAGGTATGTTTTGTTTTCAATACCTAAACCTTTGAATAAAAATACTATGGAAGAAGCAACATAATTATTCTCAGAAGAAACAAAATTAATTAATAACAGTTCAAAACATGTTAATTATTTTTAAATATTGTTGTTTGTAATAAAATTTAACATTAATATAAACTGTTGTAATGTAAAATGTTTAATTACAGTCAACTAGAATTCTTTTGTAAAATAAATTCGTTTGTCTCGACACAATAATTTATATTATTTTATTTCCTAATTTCAAATCGGTAAATTTTATGAAAAAAATACGTTGGGTAAAAGAATTTCCAAATACACAGGCTATCCGAATTTATGTTTTCCAATTGCGGAATTTTCCCTAAAATTTAGTTAACAAAAATAATAGGGATAGTCTAATTTTTCTCCTCACTTTAAAAAAGAACTAGTCACTGAACGAGTCGTTCATATGAACGAGTATTAAAAAGAAATCACAAAATTCGATTCACTGCTTAGAATACGATTCATTCATTGAATCGTGGCCAGCACGGATCCATAAAATTTGGACGAACGAGTCGTAAGAATTGAATCGGATCACATCGCGACTCGTTAGTATCTACAGCTCGTTCGTCCAAAAAATCGTGAGAATTGATTAATTGCTTACAATACGGTTCGTTCAAATGAATTGTGCCCATCACGGATCCATAAAATTTGAACGAACGAATTGTAAAAAAGAGTCTTAAGAATTGAATCGGATCACAATGCGAGTCGTTCGTTTAAAGAATCGTAAGAATTGATTCTTACGACTGCTTACAATACGGTTCATTCAGTCGAATCGTGGCCAGCACGGATCCATAAAATTTAAGCGAACGAGTCGTAAAAAAGAGTCATAAGAATTGATTCGAATCACAGTGTGACTCCTTCGTTTCTATAACTCGTTCATTCAAAGAATCGTAAGAATTGATTTATTGATTACAATACTGTCCGTTTAGAAAGTAAATATTAGAATCACGTACTATGAGCTTGGGTACCCAAACGTTTGTAATATAGGTAATATGCTATATGATATAAATGATATATAATATAAACATAGATAAGTAATTAGTTAGTGTTTTAGTAGTACCAATACTACCGTAAAATTTTATTATTCTATCCCTTTTTGTTTTTAGAGTAAAAAATAAAACCTTTATTATATTCCGCTATTTTTGTACTGCAGTATTTTCCCTATGATTAACTTTTGACCCAACGTTTATATTATTTTTTTTTGTATTTCTTTTGACTCGGTATGAAGCAATTTTACTTACCAACATTCATCACATCTAAACCGATAACAAAAATTGAAGGTATCCACCCAATAAATGTTGCAATATTGGGTAGTATGGATTGGGCTGAATCGGTTTTGTCAAATATGTAACTCAAACAGGTACAGCTTAATATCGACGAAGGGCAATACAGAAATATTAAAACGCTAAATGTAACAATTGAGGGCCACTCCCTCAATCCGGGAATATCAAAGGCTACCATTATTATGACCAGAATTGCACATATCACAACCATTATTACGCACAATACCAGAAAGTATGTTAAGAAATACGTAGAAGTTGACAGACCATTTACACGGAGCTGATTTTTAGTTTTCATCTAAAACAAGTAATTTAAAATCAATTTCAGTTAATCCTCAAGTTTAGTTAATACACAAAAACAAAATATAGTGCAACTCTTTAATCGGAACACACGATATTCGGAACATACTATTGCGGACCCGTTGGACTCGGCTTAACCTGACTAATACGCCCGCCCGGAGCCGTTCGAGAAACGAATGGAATAATCTAGGCGGCTAAAAACGTTCGAGTAAAATCTGGACTGTCTGTTACTCTCATATACAGAGTGTCCCAGGAATAAGTGCAAATATTTTAAGGGGTGGTAGATGTCGATAAAAGAAACATATTTTCTTTTTATCGTCTTTCAAATAAGTCCAAAATAACGGAGTTATTTTACTTTAAAAATTTCCAAAAAAAAATGATTTTTTGCTAAAATATTGAGAACAACTGGATTTTTTCTGGGTTTTCTTTCTTGTAAATTTAATCTAACCTATGTTGTCATATTATCAAGAAATGATGTTTTTTTCGCGAAAAAAAACTCATAGGCGTGTTTTTGGGGTTGAACTATACTACCAGTTAAAATACTTGCACTTATTTCTGGGACACCCTGTATAACCCAACGCCTGGGGCTTGAGGAGGATAGAAACAACTGATCGTTCGACGTGTACAATTGCCACGCTAAATTCAAAATAAATTCCTTTTAGATAAATAGTTAGATAAATTGTAAATAAGTTATCAATAGTTCTTATTAGTTATTGTTTTGTTACTTAGTGTAAAATAAATTGTGTTTAAATAAATTAGACTTTCTATCCACATGAAACCGATGAAAAACGAAACAATACAATAATAACGCTACCTCCCTAACTGCAACGTTCCTTATAGACTTGTCAGTTAAGTACCATGGTGTCTCCCTGCTTTATATTTTGCATTTCTTTCTTCTTGAACAACCCGTTTGAACTTGAATGTATAAATCAGTTCACTTCTGATATTTAATATACAGGATGTCAAAAAAAAATAGTGTAGCTAACTTCGGTGGGTGATTCTGCAGATAAAAATAAAAAAAATTCCTTTGAACATATGCCCTAAAATGCTTCCCGAAGAAGTTACAGTCCTGAAAATGTTAAATTCAAATCTCATATTTTGTTTATTTTTAAGAACATTAGTAAATTAAAAACGCATTAAACAAGTTGCAACAGAAACACCTTAGACAACTGTTAAGAATCAAATAGTACCACCACGTCTCAAACGTATCGGTTTTGAAAAAGCTAGCTGCATAGCGCTGAAATTACGATAACTAAATCCCGCTTAAGATCGACTGTATACGGTAAGAGAAAACCGGGGGATAACTTAAAAGGTACAAGGATATTTTTCCATAAAAACTCAAAAGGGATAAGCATATAGAATCAGTGGGGGGAAGCAGCGCACAATAGAACGCAATGAAGAAGAATTGTAAACTCATTTAACAACTGCAACCAAAAAGTAATGAGATCTTTGGATGTCCGGAGTACGGAAGAGAGATAGCATCTCGTCGGCGAGTAATATTCTCTAATCGAAACGATCCGCTAATGAGAATATGTATGAATATGTTACAATTAGCTGTTCCGATTAAAGAAGTTGCACTGTAATTGGTTTTACAAGCTCATTAAATTTTACCTCTCTATCATAGACCAAATCAATAGCCAGACTGATAGGAATCATGACAAAAACAGTACCGACACAAATGGTAGCCGTTGTAGCAGCTACATTGAGTCCTTCTGGTTGCATAGTTTGTTGGAATGGTTGAGTCATAACTTTAATCGGCTCAAAATTTCCGTACAAAATTTTATCTGGAGTTAACAACCTGAAATCGAAATATTTTAAAGACTCTCTATATAGAGTAAGATCCCAGAGCGATCAGACATAACTTATTTTCACAAGGATGAAACCTTAGGCTCTCAGTAGTGCTTTGAATATAGGCGTGTTTGTGGGGTTCGCCCTGTGACACCTTGGCAGATACCTGGTGAGAAAGGTAACTAAAAGAAATAAATGAACTTATTTTTACATGTCTGATTTTTACTTATGTTATTAAGACAACTATTATAAAGTTATATTTAATCAGTCAGACTGCTTGGAATGACCAAACATCCTCTAAACACAAAAATTATTCAGCCGTAACTGTGATGAGGGCGGGAAAACTATGCGTTTCCGAGTAAAGTATTTAAATATTTTAAAAATACTTAGGTACTGCTTTCGATTTAATAGGTTTGCATCTCTATTTAAATAAGATTAGTTGTAAAAGTAAAAACAATACATACTTATGGAGCCGATCGGCCGACTATTTGATTGCTTGTGAGCGCGGCTTCATAAAAATTATATTGGTTATAAATCTGCAACTAAATAGTCGGCCGACTAAGAATTGCATGTCACCCCCAGGCTTATTTTCCAATATTTCCTTTTACAGTATCCAAACTATTTAAAAACGTAAGTGAGAGAATTCAAGGTGTCTTTTTTCAAATTAATATTTTTTTTAGAAAATATGCGATAATTCTTTTGTCTATATAGTTTATATGCAATAAATGAATTTACTTTAATAATTATTAATTATTACATTAATAAAAAAGTTAATCTTACTGAAATAGAGATGCAAAAATATTAAATCGAAAGCAGTAAGTATTTTTAACATATTTAAATACTTTACTCGGAAACGCATAGTTCTCCCGCGCTCATAGTCACGGCTGAATAATTTTTGTGTTTAGAGAATGTTTGGTCTTGTATGTTGTTGTATTTCTGTTACAGGGCGAACTCCACAAACAGGCCGGTAATCAAAGCACATGAGAGCACTACAGAGAGCCTAAGGTTTCATCATTGTGAAAATAAGTTATGTCTGATCGCTCTCTGGGATCTTGGACTAATATCAGAATAAATTTATACAAATAGAAATTCTATTGAATTTATTACCTGTAAATACTATTGCTTATTAGATTTAACGTTATTGGCAGACTATGTTGAAAAGTATCGTTATATAGTATGGTAATTTTGTAGTCGTTGTCAGAAAAGCTGTAGATATTAAATGCTGCAAGATGTGGAGCAAAACTTAATAAAGATGAAAAATTGCCATCATATGTGTCAATTTGACGTACGCCTAGGTTGATTAGCTGATCTAAAACAAACAAATTAAAATGAATCGCAAAATTTCAATACATTTTTGTATTCTTTGCATAATATAAAATACACAAAATATAGGAAAATATTTTGCTAACTACTAAAGCTGCTAGAATTTAATAATATCTGCTAAAACTTTTTTATTATTAACATTTTGAGAAAAATGCATCCTTTACAAAAATTGTTGCTTGTTCATGGAAATTTGAATATGAAAAAACATGGTTTAAACATTTTACAACTAGCATAAGTTTTTATAAATAATGCATTTTTCTCAAATTGTTAATAATAAATAACCTTAAGTCTTTCCTCCTATAAAGACAATCCGGAGACGTACTGTATGCAACTTAAAACTACAGATTAATAATAACTTCTTACCAATAAATTGTGTAATGTCACTGCTAGATTCGTTGTGAATCGCAATCGTACTCATTCCTTCGTAAGTCGTACCATTTAGTTCCAGCGATTTGCTGATGCTTTCCGCACTTTGGAAATAATTATTGAAATACAAGCTTAAAACGGCACAAAGTAACGGTAATAATATCATAAAGTAGAGTTTCTGTAAATCTCTGCACAGCCTCAAAGTTCTTAATTTAACCAATGCCAAAATAGTTTGATATGCGTTAGGATTACATTCAATCTTTTCTAGACCAATGCCGGTGATTGGTGATTTAGTTTCTGATATGGCTTCCAAACATCCAATTTCCGTAACATCTCCTCCACCTAAAATTACATACCTGTTACATACTAAGGACTGGCAAAGGTTAGTCTTGGGTCGAGATTTCCGTATGTAAGAAGAGTACAATGCGTTTATAATGTACTGAACAAAGAGAGGACAGTAAACACGTTGCCAAACATATGAAATAAACCGAGAAACTGTGCACATCGCTAAGATACGTGGAAGGGGATATAGCAGATTTGTCGCAGTTGACCGGTCGACCCAATCAGTACCTCTGTCAGTACTTAAAGTTCTACCGAAAGGTGTACGTCATGCGTTCAGCTTCACGATTTAATTACGTCTCGTGATACTTAATTTGTTCATTTATTAACGAATCGTTGTAATTTTCCTTATAGCTTGAATTTTTTTAAGTGCAAGCTAGAAACACTTGCATTTTTGGTAAAAATAAGTGGAATTGAGTGGGTGTTCGATAGTGGTCGCGCTATTAGAATTCTGAATTCAAAAATCGATATCTCGAAATCTATTAAAAATAATAGATTGTAGTGTTTTCAAGAACATTGTTAATATTTCTGCTGTATTTTCTTTGTAGACAGTATGTGAAAATCTTTATCAATAAAAAAATTACATGATTGCTGAATATTGTTATGCTCTAAAAGTAAATGGATGGATTGTTTACAATTTTTGAATAGAAAAAACAACATTTTCGATTTTTTTTTATGTAAACATATTGTAAAATATCCGCTCTTGAAAATAAAAAAAGTTTCAATATCTAAAGTGGTTCTTGAATTATGGCCTGTTATGTGTTAAAAAGTTCAGTTTTTAAATTATCGCGATTACTGACGTTTTCTCGTTATAAAAAAAGGCACCCTAACGATATCCTTATAATTCCATTTCAGATGCTCAGAAACATGTCTAATGATTTTATCTAGTTATCTCTTGAAAAAAAAGTCTTTTAAAAATAAGCGGTTTGCGATCGTGATTTTACTTTACTTGATAGGGAAAGGCGTATCGGCAACGCCGCAACAGCACACCGTCGCGCGTCACGTCGGTCGGTCGCATTTCTCTCACTCCGACTTAATAAGATCCCTATACGATTTACTTCCACACATGTAAATGCCGACCCAAAAGTAACAGTTGCCGTATGTAATTTATTTAAAAAAAATCATGTAACCTTTTGAGTCTTGTCCATTGGAAAGTAAACTATTTCCTTCGTTCTGTAGGCTTTGATAGCTCGTACTTTTACTTTGCAAACTTAAGCTTCGACTAAGAGCTCGATTTCGTACAATCTTTTTTGACAAATTTTCTACTGCTTCATCAGGTTCATCTTCTCCTTTCTCTAAATGAAGAAAGACTTCTTCTAAAGTTGTCATTGAAACTCCATAACTCGAAATACCTATAGTTGAAAAATATATATTTATGATTTAGGTTCAGACACAAGTTATATAGTACAGTTTGCTACGACGCGACATGTGGTCGAGTACTTTGAAGTGAGAAATCGTATTTCGTATATCTGTATACTTAATGTAACAAGAAGAATATAAGATAATCCTAAATCCTATCATGTAAAGTATTGATGGTACTCTCAAAGAGAAGAAATCGATTGATTTCTTATATGTGGAGGGTTCAGAAGTCAATCAATGTAAGTCAATCAACAATTGCATTGAGATAATGAGGTATAAAAAACATGATTTAAAGAAATGAAAGTAAATTTGTATGACTTTGTCAACAAGCTATGGTCCAAACATAACAACAGATAATGCTCTCTCATTCACTCTCTAACTCTCTTACCTATTTTACTACTTTTATTATTAATTTCCAGTTCGATGGCACTAAATAAAGAAGCAAAATTATCTACAGCGTTGTGGGGTAAAATAAAACTCAATTCCCTCCCGTGCCTCCTTGCTTTTTCGGCCTTGGGAACATGCGTAGTTACAAGTCTTGCTATCGCCTGCTCCTTTGGATTACCTGTAAGAATATTTTGTAACAAAAATATAAAAATAAATTAATTTTTACCTTCAAGAACTAACGTTAGATGATAACCAATTCCGAACTTATTTTTTAAGAACAACGAACTTCCACAACACCGTATACTTCCTTTTGAGACAACAGCTTTTCTGTCCGCTAAAAAAAATAGTATATTGTTTTATGAGGAGTAAAAATACTATACATTTGACATTACAGGCGAGGTAGAAAAAGTAATTTTTACTCAGAATAAACTATTGCTATTTTGCCTGCATGCTATTTTTTTTTCAAGCATCACAAATAATTTCTTATACAATTTCAAATACTGCAAATAATATTAAAAGGTTTAAAAATAATATCTTGTAAGTAATATGGTAAGTAATTGTATATCGAGAAACTATGGTTAAACTCGTTGAATTTGACACTTTATCAGTTTAATAAAGATATTGGGTATAATTATAAGTGCTTTACTTTTATGCCTAGGAGTTAAAATACTTGTGTGACGTTTGAAAAAAAATTGTCTTAATGATATAAACATATCGTTTAATACCTAATATATCAGCTTCATCCATGAAATGTGTTGTCAATAAAATAATTTTGCCATGTCGGCGGCTTTGCAGTAAATTCCACATATGCCTTCTTGAATACGGGTCAACACCAGCAGTGGGTTCATCCAAGATTACAATCTAAAAATACGAAAAAATAGTTGTTTTCCTTATGTATGTAAATATTAGTTTTCCTTATGTGTTGTATAAGTGCCCACTATCAAAATGTTAACTCTCCATTTTTTTAAATACTTTAAATATTTACAGATTATTTTTTATAAAAAATATATTTGCTTTATCGTGGCTTCAACCTTATTTCTGTACATTTAGAAAAAATTGTGCGAGTATTATCTTAAAAAACGTTTGCTAATATATAAAAGCATTTGGAGAACCATTTTCAAAACTATTAAAATTAAAATTACCTATTTAAATATACAGGTTGTTAATTTGTTTATTACTCGCGGCAAAAGCTTTATGGTTGAAATATGGAAACCTCGGCCCGCTCGTCGAGAGACGACGCGACGGAACGAGTCGGCAGCTTAGCCTAGTACTCATTTGGAATGTAGGCAGTGTTGCCATTCTGTTCCCCAATAAGTAACCGTCCAGTTAACAATCTGTATAATAAAAAAACACTGCCACAGACTTACTTTAGGATCTCCTATAACCGCAATACCAACAGAGAGTTTTCTCTTTTGTCCTCCGCTAAGATGCCTCGCAAATGCGTTTGCTTTCTCTGTTAAATCGACATCTTTTAAGGTCTTACTAACTTCCTGTTCGATTTTTGAAGATGGAATGCCCTTAAATTTATAAACAATATTAATAGGGTAAACCAATAATATAGAACACAAGAAATATGAAAATAAAAAACACAAATTTTTAAAACAAAAATGTAATTCTTTCAGTGTATAATATTTGTTGATAAAGATTTTTTTAGTTTATATAGTCAATTGGCAATTACCTATGGAATTAAAAATATCAATATTAAAAAATATGACATCTCGTCATTTAATTTTGATTTGTTGATACAGATGCAGTTCAACGTTTTTATTTTTTTAATAATTTTAAATATGGCACGTGGTTTCTAAATAATGAAAAATTTGTAAAAGAATTATATTAATTCTTTTACAAATAACAAAAATCAATATGAGTAGAGATACGAAGATGTGGTTTCTAATAATATTAGAGATAAGTAATTAACAGGGTGTCCCAGAAATAAGTGCAAGTATTTTAAGGGGTGGTAGATCTCGATAAAAGAAACATATTTTCTCTTTGCCGTTTTTCAAATAAGTCCAAAATAACGGAGTTATTTCACTTTGAAAATTAAAAAAAAATGATTTTTTGCTCAAATTTTAAGAACCACTGGATCTTTTCTATAGTCTCTCCAACGAGAAGATCCGTGACAGTGATAGATGTGTCTGTCATTTTATTTTCAAAGTAGTTTATTTTATTTTACAAAGAAATAAGTTGGTACAACTGGAACACATAGCAGGAAATTAATATATTCAAAATTTGACTGACAAGACAAGTGATAACTTCAAAATATTGTGAAAAAACTGTATAAAATTGAAAAAATGTAATCGAGTTATTTTATTTAACAAAAAAACGGTGTGTTAATACAAAACAAACAAGAACTAGACACGAAATACTAAAAAAATATAAAAAAGAACTATTTCTTACTTCCAAGCTTCATGAAACTTCCGGCATTTATGATTATATTTATCAATATAACTTATGTACAAATACAAATTTGGCATTTGTAATATTCCACAGGAATAAATAAAATAACATAAATAAAATAAACTATTTTATTAATAATAACACTTACCAAATTTTATACCTTAAAGGTTGATTAATTAACTTTAATCTTAATTTTTTTAAACCAGTACCTTTTGACATTATTTTTCTGCAGTACTAAAATTCATTATTTACCTATCGTGTGATGTCGATATTTTACAGCTACTCCAGTTTGTAGTATGTGTTTAGTATGATCCTTCTACCATATACGAGATGCACTTATCTACGATGAAATGGTACACAAACTTTATTGATGGTAACTTTATTGGTGTATAAGACTTTCTGCCTGGGCAGAGAGTATTAACCATAAACTGTGCTCTGGGTCTACAGTTAATTTTCACTCGATTTTTCCTCCACTTGACTTCAAAAGACACAAAACACACGTAATAACACGAATCAAAATGCATCATATTCCAAAACGCAGGGTATTTGACAAAAGTTGACACAAAATTATAACCTTTAATTTGGCAAGACTTTGACAAGCGTCAAAAATCTAAAGGCGAGTTCATACGCATCGGCGTCCGTTTGTCGTTCATCGTTCCGTCAAACCAATAAAATTGAAATACGATCTGTCATTTTTGAAATAAACCAATAAAACTGGTTAAACACGAAAAGAGACGACGCTTGACGGATTTATATTTAAACCCATCCATAGTTAACTTAAAAATTATTAGAAATTTTTATTTAGTAAAATAAATAGATTGGTATGTGACATCATCTGCTTTTCTTCTGTCATCGTCTGTCGAAATCTTACCTGAGAAAAAAAACAGAGTATAAAAAAATGTTCAATTTTTTTTTGCGAAAAAAAACTCATAGGCGTGTTGCTGGGGTTGAACTATACTACCAGTTAAAATACTTGCACTTATTTCTGGGACACCTTGTATAATAAAAGCCATAAATCAACACTACCTTGACGTTTGCAAAAAATTCCAAATGCTCTTTAGGTGTCAAATTATCGAACAGTATATCATGTTGGGGGCACACTCCAGTCATCCGACGGATCTGATCCATTTCATTTTGATTTCTACAAGAATTTTTTAAAATATAGTAAATAAATTGATAAAAAATATAAATTCTTCACAACATAATATTACATTTATTTGTAATACCTAACATCGTATCCAAAAATATAAGCTGTTCCAGAAGTAGGTGCTGTAAGTCCTGTTAAAATATTAAATAAAGTAGTTTTCCCTGCTCCATTGTGGCCCAATATTGCCGTAATGTGGCCCTGATATATTGTGAGATTAATACCGTTGATGGCCTTAACTTCTGGTTTTCTAAAATGCTATAATAAAAGTATTTTATTTTTACTCTAAATTATTAATTTGCTATAATTTACATGAAAGGATTTGTACAAATCTACAATTTTGATTGCTTCTCTTCCTTTCATTTCTCTCGGTAAAGGTTCAAAATCTGTCAATACCTCTTCACCTGTGTTTAGCGAACCTACAGATCCCAAGGATTCCCCATTAGACAGAGGTATTTTATTTGCTGGACGCTTTGTACACCAAAATGATGGATTGAAACAAAAAAATGGCGATCTCTTAACACCATGTTCACCTAAAATAAAGTTAATTATGTTTAAAACATAATTTGTAATTCCATAAAGTAAGTTGTAAGGTATGAAATAGCTCAGAAGGCTATTTAGAGGAACTCATTACGGCTACTTCTTGACAATTCGTATGGATCAATTTGATAATTTTCAATAAGTAGCAATAGCAATACTGTATTTCTTTTGAACTTGTATAATATATTTTATATGAACGGAAGTGTAACAAATTAGGCATAGAAAATTAAGTCCTCCTACTCTGGGTGACAGCCTACAAAGGTATACAGAGAAGACCAGGCTACTAGTAACATAGCGGTTGCTGGACGAATTTGCGTTTACCCGATTACGTTCGTAGGTACCTACTCGAGATTCACTGCCGGCTGAAACGCTGAAGCGCCTCGTATTTAGTCGGCTGGTCGTCAGGCAGTATGCAGTGGCAGTTGTGTGCTTGGACGGGTCGGTCGTGACAGACTAGGAATACGACGCGAGGAGTGCCGAGTATTTATTATTTTCATTTTAAGTGTTTACCTTCACTTAAGGTAACATTTAAAATAAAAATACTTAAATATTTATTATTTGAGTGTGTTTACAAGCCAAAACTCAAAATAAATAATAATAATAATAGCTCCCGTATACAGCGTTTGACGCCTTGGGAGTAGCAAGGTACAGCTTGCCATGCTATTAGAGCCGTTCGGTATACAAGGAAGGTAATGTGGCTAGTACTACGCTTCAACCGCCTATTATTACCTCAGGATTGTGAATCACAAGTAGGTAAGTAATCACAATCCTACTCATTTAAGGCTGAGTCGACCTAGGTACCCAAACTATTTTTGTTTTTAATAAAAATAGTCGGCTGATGAAATGCCGGGTGTGGAATTCGAACCCACTACCTTGAGATTGGTAGACGAGAGCCTGTACCTCTACGCCACCGGGCACCTTTTTTAAAACCTTTTCCTTAAAATAAATAAGTTCTCTAAACCCAAAACTCATTTCCAGAATTAAAAAATACATCAATAAAATTAAAAAAATAACAAGTGTTCAAAAAGACCACCTTCTTGTGCTAGACAGAAGACTAGGCGGTGGTAAAATCCCCGTCTGACATTGGCTAACATATTAGGGCTAATAGTTTGGAAAGCCTCTCGTATTTTTACTTGAAACTCATCCAGATTATTAGCCCTATTGTGATCATACACTTTGGATTTTACATAACCCCACAAAAAGAAATTGGGAGAAAGATGTGCTGATCTAGCGAGCCACAAAATAGTTCCATATCCACTAATTAAACGGTTGGGAAAAGTATTGTTCCAATATTCTTGAACAAAACGAGCATTGTGAGCAGGGCAACCATCTTGTTGAAACCAGACATTGTGGAATCTTTCTCCCAATAATTCACGAATTCTAGGGACAATCTGCTGCTGTAACAAGTCCAAATACTTTGCAACAGTTAAATTACCCTCTCTAAAAAATGAACCAATCATATGCTCCCCTACAAAACCACCCCAACGTATTTGTGTAGGGTTATGACTACTCAATAAAGGAAAACTTGATTCGTCGGTGAAAACTATACACCGAATAAAGTTTTCATCTAAATTTCCCTTTTCCATTACAGATTCACAAAACGCCATACGCGGAAATTGGTCTTCATGGAAAATATCTTGAGTTTTGCGCGCTTTATACTATCGGTATCCATTCTTTCTAAGGACTCTTTTAACCGTACTAGGTGAAGAATCTGTTACCTCAGGAATTTGATTACTTGAAAACGTGGGATTTTGATCCGCGTAGCATAAATGAACACCTGTTTTAACTCCTGTTTTTCATTAATCAACACATCAGGCTTTTTGGGTTTTTGTGGGGACACGCACCCATGTGTTTCAAAATTATTAATAACTCTTGATATAGTAGGTAAAGATAGAATTGGCCTGTTTACAAAAGTTTGTGGAAAAATTGTTTGTATGTCCCGATAAGACCTATTTTTTTACAATTTGAATTTTCTCACGAACTTCGTAAACATCCATTATTTTATTTAAAAAATAAATTTTACACGAGAGCTGTCGCGAGAATCTATGTATTCGTTTTGGGTATTAAAACACGAATAAATTCAAATTCTGAAACATTCTTGTCGCATATCTACCTGTTTTTATATTATCGAATTTTTTCGCCTGCTTTTTATCTGGCGGACGGGTATACGCTAATTCGTCCGAGTTCTGCCTATGTTACTACTACGGTGGTCCGGTCTGTATATAAGGTAATGAAAGACAAAATGATCTAGCTAGCAAGGGAGTGAACACTCCACTAACTGGATAAGAATTGTACTATGCCAAAAAGAATTGTCCTATACCAAATGGAAACCAACTTAAAGCAGAACTCAAGAACCTGGAACTCCATCCGTAACCTAAAATGGGAATCCTCCAACGATCTAAGACACTCGAAGAAATTTCCCAGAACCTTAATAAACTATACTATACTATACTACAACCTCAGTAGAATGAAGCATGGCTATAAATAGCATACATATGCATCTAGAAATTCTGACTTTCAAACATCCACTGCGACTAGTATTTTCATATCCAATTGTCTAGTATTAAAGTCCGAATATACATTTTCCTTGGGTTTGACCGGAAATTTGCTTATAAATGTGAACAACCGGCTACGTCGCTTCACATCGCATGGCCGTGGCGTGACTCCAAATTCGTTGTTTTAAAAATATTATTAGATTTGGCTATAGGCGCCCTCTGTGTCATTAATAAAGAACTGTCTCATCGAAAACATGCTGTTCCGTAAGCAATAGCCATCTGGATTATGTGTTATCTGTGGTAATAGTAAAATTAAAGTAATAGGATACAGTATAGGAGGACACGTCCCGTCATCGTCACGACGAGCTTCCGCGCGATTTCGACAGAAAACATGAAGTAAATGGAAGATAGACATTGCGGGTAGTAGGAATACATATTCCTACTACCTAAAAAAATACAGTAACCTTATTGAAAATTATCAAATTGATCTATACGAATTGTCAAGAAGTAGCCATACTGACTTCCTCTAAATAGCCTTCTGAGCTATTTCATACCTTACAAACTTATTTTATGGAATTACAAAATATGTTTTAAACATAAAATATTCTTTGCCAACAGTTAACATTAACTGTTGGCAAAGAATATTTACCGTGGTAGCCAGCGCGCGGTGGCTCGACGTGACGGTGACAGTACGTTATAGTGTGAATCGCGCCTTAAGGTAGCGATAACTAACTTCTCCCTTCTCATACAATCTATATCTGATATTATACTCACTTGGTACAACATTATCTAAATAATATGCTATAAATCCATATAAAACAACGTCAACCGCCATCATAATCAAGCTTCCGCCAAACGGCATGTCTGGTCCATCCCAAACATTCGACAAATTTACACCTTGACCGGCTAGATCCATGAGTAAAGCCTAGAATTTATGATATTAACTATTTAAAGAAAGCTTCCAAGATACTCTTACCTTGTCCATAGCTAATGCAAATCCGGCTGGGCTTATTAGTGAGACCATCCAAAGAGCTATTGAACTGGAGTCTCTAGCAAATACTTGTATGAAATAGAATAAACTCAATATGGTAACGGCAAAATTGCCCAAAATACCAGCTGTCTAAAAACCAAATATGTATTTTACAAAATATTAGTACATGTACAGGGGGAGTTAACGATAAAATTCATTATCTCGTTTGTTTTCAGAATTACAAAAAAAAATTATGTTAAATAGAAATATACAGGGTGCTTAAAAAAAGTGGAGCAGCATATAACCTTTGAATAAAAAGACTAAGAAAGGAGTTTAATATACTAATATTATACCGGGTGGTGCATTGTCGTTGAAAATATAGGAAATTGTATGCAAATTTTCAACTGTCCAAATATTGGCTCCCCTATTAATTTTACAGCCCAGTCGTAAATAGTTTTTTTTTAAAGTCTGCCTATACTGAATACACATATCAATTTTGAATAGTTTTGGACAAGCCGATTTTAAGTAATTTAAAAAATACTACAATTGACAATTTAAATTTTATCATAGATAAAAGAAACAAGTTTAGATTGGAAAGTGCCCATAAGGGCATTGTAAATACTATTTGGTGCTGTTCTTACAACGAACGGTCGCTTTTCAAAGCTTTTGATAATTTCGGAGCGGTTCGGCTTTTTCCGAAATTATGTCGACAAATATTATTGATTCAAATTTATTATTACTTTCTTTTAATTTTTTAAATAAAATACAGTGTGTTGAACCGTGGGTATGAAACATTGGAAACCGACGTTATACCACGATCCACGATGGTTTTTGCAGTTCACAGTTTTTGCAGTTCGCAGTATTAATGATACAAGTTCGATACGAACATCATCACGTTAGCCGAGTGGCTTAGTTACACAAGTTTCATTAAAAAGTTCGTATCGAACGTGTATCATTCAAAATTTAATCTACGACGCGACACGAGGGACGATCCAAAGAGATTTGATTTAATTTAAAATATCAAAGACATCCTCATAAAAATTAAAATTCAAAATTATCAGTTGCCCATATTAGTCGACGCCGTGGTAACCGTGCTTGTTGATTGTTTCCATTTTGACTTTGACAACTCAATTATTGATGTTCAATTTTGTGTTAAACGTTCAGTTTTAGCAAAAAGCAAAAAATAATATTAATATGGGTGATTCTGATTCTGAAAGTGTCCCTTCGGATATTGAAGGCATTGCGCAAAACGTTGTCGATTCCCTACTTCCCGAAAAATCAAGACAAACGTACGAGCAAGCCTATGTAAAACTTGAAGATTGCTGTAAAGGGAAAGGAATCAAGAATAGTAGGTACCTTTTTTTGCTTGTTTCTTATTTTAAAATAAGTGGCACTAGTGCTATTATGAAAGCCATAATGACATCCAAATGACAATAGGTCTGTTCGTTTTCCTGTTATTATCGATTCTGAATCGACCTAGAACTCTCCAGCGCATGCGCAAATGAAATAATGTCTTCATATTTCCTTCTGCGCATACGCATCACAATTCTAGGACGGTTCAGAATCGGTAATAACAGGAAAACGAAAAAAGCTAATGTTAAATTGTCGTAGATTAAATTTTTAATGCCATTTTTTCACAATTATCGCGGGTTTGACTAAATAACATTTAAACTAAACTTGCAAAATAGCAATAAGTACTTTGAAAATGGACGCTTTAAACACTTTTCGGGATTTTTTCAATGTGGGCAGTTTAAGTTTTATAACATTTTATAATTTTTGAAGGTTCTGACTTTGAGAAGAGAAAATTACCTATTTCTGTTCTTATTTGGCGGTTGTCCTTAGCAACCACTATAGCAGCGCCCTATAACGTATGCGCTCCAAAACAATTATAAGTTTTGGCGGCGATCATTCCAATCTAAACTTGTTCCTTTTATCTATGACTTTTATTTAAAATTTCACGGATTTTTATTTATGACTCTTCGCGTACGATTTTTCTTTATATGCTCCTTCCTTAATCTTTTTATATCAATGGATATAACATACGTTTTTTATAAGATAGTTCGCCTATATAGATAATGACTGTATGAAAATTTACACCAAAAGTTGTAATTCAAAACTTACCCTAGACTTGTCAAAGAAAGGCGTTATCATAAATCCAAACATAATAATGCTCAATGAGTACATAAAAATCAGTAAAAATATCATTCCAAAGCTGGTATTGGTAAAAATATTCAGAGCAAAAACTAAAGAACAATAAATTATTGTCAGCAGTAAGACAAATATTGCGTATATAATAAACCAAGATAGCCTAAAAAAGATTACCGTTGTTACAGGAAAGCAATTTTCTAAGGTTTACGACTTACCAGAATACCGAGTCGTACAGCCCCATAATTTTCATGCCCTCCTTTATTTTCTTCTCCTTCTCCCCGACAATTAGAATAAGTAAGTACGTAATAAACTGAGACAATGCAATAACCGTATAAAATGGAATTAGAACACGAACTATCACCATCCAGCTTCCGGTGTACGACGATTTAGGAAACATTTCTAGTAGGATACTGGGTACATCCAGATTCTCAATACCGGCATCTAACTAAAATTAAAATAAATTATATAGCTAATTAAATTTGCTGTATGATTAAAAGATCAAGTTGGCTTCTGGTTGGCTTGGAAGTAAAGATCGATAATATTCGCTATACATCAGGTTTAAAAAAAGTCCCATCTCTCGTGAGATATAATAAGATATTTTTTTCTTTAGTGATGGGATAACTCGAGCGAAAATTCGCTGATATGTATGGAAACGGTCCATTATTGGGTAAAATATACGAGGTACCCCAAGAAGTTAAATACAAAAGTTACAGGGTTTGTAAATATCTACTGGCGAGTAATAAATTTAAGTATACAGGATCGGTCATAAAGTGGTGGCACATCAAAGTTTCATTTTTCTAATTGGAATTCCCTTATATAATTATTGCATATTTCAATTCTTCCTTCAATTCTAAGCTAAAATAGAAATACACACAATGTACCTCAAGCCAACCGTTTCCGAGTTACTGACTTTTGAAAATATCACTTAAACAATTCAATTTAATTAATTTCGATGTGTTCGGTTTCATTTAACGATGCTATTCTGCGGTAACCGTGATACTTAATAATATTTTATTTAAATACTAAATAATATTTTATGTTTTTAAGTTAGCTTTTATACTATATGTATAAAGTGAGATTATATCAAAATTAATTACAAAATTTTCGTTTAACATTTCAAAACCAAAACTCGACATCTCGGAAACGGTTGGATTTAGGTACATTATATGTATTACAATTTTTGCTTAAAATTGAAGGACGAATTGAAATATCCAAAAATATACAGGGGGTTCTCTTTAAAAAAATGAATCTTTGAGGTGCCACGACTTTATGACCACTCTGCATACTTAAATTTATGACAAGATGTTAGGCATTTAAAAACCCTATAACTTTTGTATTTAACTCTTTTGAGGGACCTCGTATACTTTGCCTAATAATCGACCGTTTCCATCCATATCAGCGACCCTATATTATAATTTTCTTTCAAGTGCATTTTGTGATTTGAATGAAATTTTGAGGGTAAAAATTACTAGAAGTGATACGTAATTTAATGTTATAAAAGTGTTGGGAGAGTCCCCATGAACCTACATAATGGGATAGAACGTTTAATGCCGATTAAAAGTTGTTTATTGATCTTTTGCCTATTTCGACATCCTTGACGATATAAACGCAACTTTTCCTACTAAACGCGAGTTTCACCCTCTGTAGCTCAGAAACAAAGCAGAATCGGACCGATATTAATATAAAAAATACACCTGTACAGGGTGGGTCAAATTCGACGCTTTTAAATGGAAACACCCTTTTCTATCGGAGATAGACAAAAACTAATATCGGTGTCTGGAGCTCAATTTTTGTCAAAAACATGATGGTGAAAATCGCATATCGATATTTGTTACCGTTTTGGAGTTACGGGGTGTTTTTCAAAAATATGCATTTTTAACAAATCGCTGTAACTTTTTTGCTATGGAAAATTTTGTATTTTTATGGAAACATTTCCAAAGCACCTTTTTACGTAGAATCTAATGTTTTAAGTATAATTTTTTTTTAAATTAATAATTTAAGAATTATCAACAGAAAATTTTATTTTTTATATGGGACACCCTGTATATTTTTAATTTATTGAAAAGAATGTAAAATTACCTTTTCAAAAATATAACACACTTGATATTTTGCTCGATTCCTCTTCGAGATATAGAGTATATAAAAATTCGCCCGCTTTAAATAAGTAGGCTTTGAACGGCACCGGCTCTAATGCAAAAAAATTCTAGCTGTGAGCATCAATTAAAACGAAAATAATATTTGCTATGAGATATTCAGAACTTTATAACAATTTAAAATATATTTAACCAACATCAACACATTTAAACTATATCTAATAACAATAAAAATAAATAGCAAACCAAGACATGAGATTTTGCCACAGGTGTTCGACATATCGACCCTCTTCTGTTATGGACAGACGGGGCAGTTTTTGAACATTTCTCGCGGAATTCATTAACACAGTGGGAGTGAAAGACACCCTCTCCTAACTGCTAAGTATTTCTAATTCTTGTCTAGATTATACGGAAGAATAAGGAACCTTTATTCTTCCGCAAATATATCCATAAGATTAGATCCATGGGCACTAAGTCAGGCGGCCTCGACGACCAACGGCTGGGATCTTGGTTAGCTATTCAATTATTCTTGACATTGGCTGCAAAAATTTGCTAATAACTTCAGCGTTCAGAGGCGGTGCGTCGTCTTGCTGGAAAAATATGTTTTCGAGTTCCATTAAGGGCATATTATCAATAAGTGGTCCAAAGCCTACTAGTTTAAAGTGGCGAATTTTTTAAAAACTCTGTATTGCAAAGGGAATTATAACAAAATATCGAGTATGCTATATTTTTGGAAAGGTAATGTTAAATTATTTTCAGTTAATTAAAAATATAGAGGGTGTCCCAATTAAAAAATTAATTTTTCTGTTGATAACTCTTAAATTATTAATTTAAAAAAATATATAATTAAACCATTAAATTCTACGTAAAAAGGTGCTTTGGAAATGTTTTCATAGAAATACAAAATTTTCCATAGTAAAAAAGTTACAGCCATTTGTTAAAAATGCACATTTTTGAAAAACACCCCGTAACTCCGAAACGGTAACAGATATTGATGTGCGGTTTTCACCATCATGTTTCTTGATGAAAATTGAGCTCCAGACACCGATATTAGTTTTCGTCTATCTCCTATAGAAAAGGGTGTATCCATTTAAAAGCGTCGAATTTGACCCACCCTGTACATGTATATTGAAACCAATTAAACTTTTAGTTACGTAATCGAGGGCGCGATTTTTAAATTCATTGTTGCCAACCCTAGCAACATATTCATCGCCGGACTTTCTAACCGATATTTAAATTTCCCGCTGGAGATACAGGTGGTAACTCTGCTGTAAAAAATGTCATTGTTGCCACATTTATTTATTTATTTTCTGTCATTGTTATTCGTTTTAACACTTGAGTTTTTTGTTTAAATGAATTGTATTGTGATATTTTAAGCTTAAAAAAGTTTACTAGCAGACGTTCCAGTCGAATTGTTCCTTTTAGAACCTCTTTTAGTGCGAAGTGTACAAGGTAGCTTAATAGCCGTAAAAAACTCATCGCAACTTTATTAGAATATTTTAAACGGAAAAGCCGTAGTAATGGCCCCTTATGTCCCTTAAGTGCTGTTAAGAAGGTGAGTTTTGTTCATGTAAATATTAACTGTTTATATATTTATAATTATTTTTTTTGTTTCCTAAAATACTTGGATTAAAAGAAAATACGTTTAAGTGGGCAACGCTGTGCCGCTCAAGCTTAATCACGTGACTAAAGGTTTATTTGATATGAACTATAAACTATACTTACTTTTATTTTGGTGAAATCTATTAAAGCTTGTAGAGCGAGGAAACCAGAGTAATAATATTGATTAACCGGGCAACTTTCGCCCACTTCGATGGCTTCGGGTAGTACCGGTGTAGGTACTCCAGGCACATGCTGCCAAAACGAATTGTACTCCCTACATTTTGCTGGCGAGCTGAACAATTGAGTTGTCGATGGAGTACCATAAATATTTGGATTGGTACGTATTTCATAGCTAAAAAATAAAAGAGTTCATTGAGTTTTATTGCAGTATATGCGGGAGTTATAATTAGTTTATATTGTAAACACAAAACATTTTCCGATGCACGTCATCAATCATATCAACATTGACATTAAAGTCTATAAACCTGACTAAATGAAATTTTGGCTAAAGTGTTTAAATTTGTTGTATAATTTAAGATACCGAGCAGCTCTTCATTTTACTTTATAGAGCAAATGCTTGTAACAGATATTTTATTTAGATTGAAGCTACTAAAGTTTGTTTAAACCGAATTTTATTATCGCTATGTTGGTCACATTGCAATGTTGTCCTTTACTATTTGACAATTAATTATCCTAATATCAGTCATTATTTTGTATAATATCATGTTGTTGAATCTTTGTAAGCAATTCTCGTTTTTTTGCCTATTTTCGTAGTCTTTTTTTAATTGCACTTTTAAGTACAAACAGTTCTTTTAAGAACTAAATTTTCGAATTTTTGTTTTGCATTTCTTGAAATTTGTGTGTTGAAAATATGTCGAAGCATTTAAACTAGTCGAAGCAAAGAGCTTGTAGCTTCCCTGATAAACAATTTGAACAAGAACGTGAAAATAAAGTTCTTTTATTACCCTTGATTGCAGTTAGAGAAGTAAGTTTGATTGATAAGCACATTATACCACTTTCAAAGTTTTATTAAATTCTGTGATTATTAGTTTGTGCATTAATAGAACCCTCTGACTTGTTATTACCACTTGTTATTACCACTTATTTGTAAGATGTACATCAATAAATAAATATATATATATATATATATATATATATATATATATATATATATATATATATATATATTATATATATATATATATATATATATATATATATATATATATATATATATATATATATATATATATTTATATAAATAACCCATAATAACGCTTAGAATAATTTTTATAATAGACTAGCTTTTGCCAATATGTAATAAGTAAAATAAGCTATAAAACAAATAAATCAATTAATTACTAAAATATTTGTTACTAAATTAAGATTCATCTCATAAATTCATCACAATCTGGCAGCGCTGTCGCCATCGCTTGTCACTCAAAGTTGATCACGTGCATCGGAAATTGTTTTGCGATTACCATATGTTTGTGTTACCTACCTCAACGGGTTATTTATAGGATCTGAATTTTGAAAAATTACTGCTATCGGTATATCATTTGGTTCCATCCAGTACGCCGTTAATAATTCTTCTATACTCGGATATATAACCCAAGCAATAGGTGGTACCCTTCTTTGCTGTTTTGCATTTATATTGTCCCAGAGATCATCGATAGTTCTCAAAAAGTCCTTAAATAAATACGGTACTCAATATTTTTTCTCGAAGTAAATGGAAATATTTATGTTGGCTAGTTATCTTTTCATATAGTATTGTCCATAAAATCCACATGAAATTTATTCCATGGAATGTGTTTCAATCAGTTTATTCTATTAGAAGATATGCTGTTTATACATATCGGGCAAAATTATGTCAATATACACGATTGCAAAATATTCGTATATAAGTTATTTCTCTTAAAAAATGTTAAAATATATTTACTTGGAGTTAGATATCTATAGATAAAAAGAACTGGTTATATTTTGCCAAAATTCTGCCAAACTAATGTTATAAAAGTTAAAGCTTTAGCTATATTGTATAGAATAAAATTCTTCACAATTATTCCTATATCACAATAACTACGAAATCTTTTGCAATATTTTACCATATGGTTTTCACCATACTACTCTAATAGGGAAATATTACTTTAATACACTAATCCAAAAATTCTAAAAAAATATCATAATAAAACAAACAGTTAAGTGTCAAATAAAAGGTAATAACTGAGTAGTTAGTTATTCTTTTAACTGGGCCAATATTTTTACTGAAATATTTATCGACATAAGCTGTAAAAACTTATTAAATTTATCGACTTTGTCATATGTTTCCAAAGTTATACGAGTTTTAAATGTTGCCCCAGTTAACAATAAAGTTGTTCACATAATACAAGTATTGCGCTTTGTTCAGCATATAAAATGATGGTAAAATATATATATTTTTAGTGGTGGATGCCAATGTAATCTGAATCAATTTTGTCCACGCTATTATTTTAATTTTGCCTATAAATAATAAGACAGTATTTCTAATACTCCATTTTATATGTTTAGTCTTTTATTCTTTCGTTTTATAATTGGATCTTCTTACTTCTTCTATATAGAGCATCGATTACCTCTCGCATGTACTTGTGATGTGTGTCATCAGTGTTTCACAAGTACACAGGACCTACAGTTTATTGCCGAATCCGAACGGTACTATTTGAGAGGGTGTACAAGGCAAATATACTCAAGGTGATTTGCCATTGTCTTCCTTGGGGTGGCGGCTCGTTGGTCGCTCTATTTAGATAAATAAATATTTTTATTTAAATAAATAAAGCGACCGTACTGGCTGGGGATCGAACCCAGTACCATAGTTTAAGGAAAAGAGTAGTTGCACTCTCGCAAATATTTTCTGACAGTTTTTGCAAGCTGTCGAAAATCGGCAGCTTGCAAAGCGTTTCAGTTGAATTCCGTCCGTCAAGCTGCGAGGTTCGAGCGTTGCGTCCCAAACACAGAGACGGATTGACAAAAAATGAGTGCCTTACTGTGTGCTGCTATTAATTGTAGTAATAATTCAAAAAATTGTTCTTTGAGTTTTTTTAGATTTCCATCGGATGTAAATCGGCAAGCTGATAGTAATTATCAATAAACATTTAATTATATTTGTTTATTTTAGAAGCTGAGATATTATGTAATTAATTAAATGTTATTATTTTTTTTTTAGCATGTGGGCAAATCTTAGAAATAGTTTTTTAGATATACAGGTTGTCTCAAATATGCGCATGAAAATATTCTTTGGTCAGGGGATTTGCCATAAAATTTTCATTACAATAATAATTTACGAGATAATTTATATAGATTGGTTTTTGAAACAATTTTAGAGTAAATATTTTGTACATCTAAAGTCTCCGCAAATTATTCATATTTTATAAATGAAAGAATTTTATAATAGCATAATCTATTATAAATTTAGTGGACTGTATTTTTTTATGTTTTTTTTATTTTATTTATTTTTTATTATAAGTGGTCGTAATATAACAATATTCAAAATATTCTAGACAAAATATTGAGCTTATATTTGAGGGAAGAAAAGTGCCACACCTAGCTTTAAACCACCGTAAATATACAGGGTGGCCCATTATTGCGAGGAAAAGTTTTATTCATATGTTTCAAGGTTTATAAAGGGTCGTATCCTAAAATATTTTGTTATATACAGGATGTCACAAAAAAGTTATGGTAAAGTTAATTTTATTTTTTTTTAATTATTTTATCATTCTATATACATTATTCTATATAGGGTATTTTTTATGGCGATGGCGTCACCAAAATCGGAATATTTAAAATGGTATATCTCAATTTTTTTAAATGCAACATTCTGTATATTATTTTTCGATCAGATGCAGAATTAAAAAGTGAACATTTTGTTATTTAAAGTGTTTCTCTAAATTTTTAACGGTTTCGCAGATATTCGCAGTATTATATTACATATAGCTGTTTCAACAGTAAACTTTTATCAAAGCCACCTAATATGATCTTTGTCTGATATTTTATCGTTAGAAATCCCATATGTAATGAAATACAGAAAATATTTGCCAAACGCCTAAAAATTTAAGAACACTTTAAATATAAAAAATGTTCACTTTTTAATTCTACATCTGAAAGAAAAATAATATACTAGGTGTTGCATTTAAAAAAAATGAGATACAACATTTTAAATATTACGATTTTGGTGACGCCATAAAAAATACCCTGTATACGATAAAGTACATTTTTCTACGGGAATTTATTCTGGTGTTCTTGTCATGTTTAAGAAAACATAGCTAAGTATTAATAAAGTTATATTCACTCTAGTTTTTTGCCACTTTTCATATATCATGTTTTTAACCAAAGTTTTAGTAAATAAGAAATAGAATGGCAACACCGCAGTGTGCTTTAAATAGAATCCAGTTATCTACAGAAAATTAAACTTAAATAAATAAACGTTTCAAATAAAAAAAAATTGTAGAAAATCTCTGAAATAGATAATAATATAAAAATGTTATTATATATATCTTCCCATCAGAAGATTTTCAGATACAGAAGAATTGTTACATACACGAAATGTGAAAACATTCTGTTTGCAAGCAAGTTTTTTCTGGATGATCAATTTATTTTATTGGGAACTCATATTTTTCTAAATACATATCTGTGAAACTACGGCAAGTGCCACGACTATACTTAGCCTAGTTAATAGACCACAACTATACAGCTACGTCAGTGGTCACGGGGGGCGAGAACAAGGTCATATAAAGTGGCAGAAAAAGAACAAAGGATTTGACAAGGAGTAAATCTACTAGTTTCCTTATACTATGCCAGTACCTTCCGCTCCGCAAATCAACACACTAGCGCTGGAGCTACGGCCGGCCACTTATAATACATTTTTTATAATTTGATTCTCATAGATAAATAAATATTTAAAGAAATGATAATCGTAGAACAGAAAATTATGCACAACTAATACTAATGAACAAAATATAATCAAATTATTTGATATAATAATTATTTTTCTACTTAATTACACATATATGTAAGAAAACTCATTGTGCTTCGATTGATAAAATAAAAACAACAAAAACAAACAATACGTACGATATCTACACATATCGTAAAATGTATTACTATTGAATTTACTCCAAAACTCAACTAGCGAGATAGATTTATCAGTTCTGTATATGAACGACCTACTTTTACCTCACTTCATTCGCAATAGATTTTTCTACATTGAGACATTTATATTATCGCGTTATAATATTGTATTTCCAAAAAATTTAGAGCATAAATACACATATAAACAGCTGTATATTATGGTACATTTACAGTGACTATATACCATCTGTATACAAGAAATGATATTACCACATTATGCACTAAATTCTAGGCGCTCTTTTACATAATTTCGAGTAGGTAACTTACAACCACGAAAATTTCGAGTTACCCATTTCGTACATTCAGGTGACAAAATAATTAAGTTAAATTAAAGTCAATTAAACAATTTATACCTGGACTTCTGTAGAATTAGGTACAACTGCAACCGAGTGGCTAAAATTTCTAAAATTTGCCAATAGTTCAGCTTCACCTCGTGGTCGATTCATTTCGGGAAAATTCGGATTTGGCATGGCTATCTTGATCAGGAATAACACTCCTAACGTGTATATTGGCAGAAGAACTTCCTGTAAATGAACATTGTCAGTTAATTACAAAGAATTAAATCATTGTCCAATATATTCTATACAAGTTTATAAACATCTCGTTTAAACGATATCTCAAACATTTATTAAATGCAATTTTTAACCTTAGTAATTGTTTGTTATATCAGTTACAGGTTATATTGTTGGTTATATTAGGAATGTCAATCCTGAAATATTTTCATTAATTTGGGACTTGATCCGTAATACTAATCGCGAGATCCCGGGATTTAATCCATTTAGATGAATATCGAAGTAGAATATTCCTTAGAAGTGTATTGTAACAATAAACCAACGCAAGTTATTCATTAACTCTGAAATGGTTTCATAATTAAATTAATACAAATTAATTAATCATTTTATGGTATAAATAACAAATTCCATCTCCTAACTCAATTAACAAAATTGGCTATTGGGTCGAAAACAAAGATCATTAGGAGAGAGTTACTGACGTGAAAGGAAACAATTTATAAATACGCCTTAATACTGTATTTAATGAAACTGGCTTTCTGCGAAATAAAATTCTATTTTTGGAATATATTTATCATCGTTATTTTTCTCTTCCATTCTACTCAAAACGCAAAATAATCTTATTTATAAGACCTAAAATTTATTTTATACTGTAAGCGATACCAATTAAACTTTTAGTTACGTCATCGAGGGCGCGATTTTTAAATTCATTGTTGCCAACCATGGACGTATTCGACGCCGGCGCGGCGCCGGCTGACCAGCTGGAATTTTCCGCTGGGGATTCAGGTTATATTTATTTCCTGACATTGTCATTCGTTTTGACATTTTAGTTTCGTATTACGAGTTTTTGGTTTAAAATGGATACTTGGCTAGTTTTAAACCTAGCCAGCTATTTTGCAAATTAAAAACTAAAAGCGCTGTTTTTTTGAAGGAACCCGCCTGTTCTAGCAAAATTTATTTTGTTTTTATTTTATTTTGCTATTTGAACCCAAGGATACTATAGAGATAAGGATAGTTCGATTCCTATCTTCCTGTACTGTCAGTTTTTTCACGTTATCTAGGGACCGAGTTGAAGTTCGCGCTAAAGATTTTAGACAGTGACAGTTATTTTTGCGTTTGACGGACGAACGCACAGTGCGGCGGAAGATAAATCTAGCGGGACAAAAACATTAAAATGATGTTCTAGTTAAATAAAGCATGACGATATGCTAAAGGTTTTTTTTTACTTTCTGATAATTTATAATAAAACTAAATGATTATTACTAGTTTTAATAAACGTTTAAAAAATTGTCTTAGATATACTATGTACCGGGTGCGTCTCAAAAGTGGCTCACCCCTATAACTTTTTTATTTTTTCAGATAAAACAACGATATTTGGTATTTTAGTGTATGACATAAATCGGGATTGATTGACTTATTCAATTGTTTTCGGTCACTTCTACTAGAAATGACTACAACTTTTGATTTTTAAATGGCACCCTCGGTATTTTTTACTTTATTCGATAGAAAATGACACTCTGAATCGAATGATATATCATATGTCAACTTTTAACATGTTAGCATATGGTTTATTTGAAATTGTAACATGCAGTTCATAATGACAATTTGACTCAAAATACCAAGTGTGTGGTATCAAATTATTCGTAAAAAAATAGGCTTTTTCCAAATATGCTAATGAGCCACCCTTGTTCCATTTGAAAAGATTGAGATATATTAAATTAAAGAAAAAAGATAGATTAAAATTACGATTTGGGCATCTTTTAACCGGCCAGGACAAGACACTAAAAACATTAGACGATCAAATCTATTTTTCCAAGGCTCCTTGATTAAAAATTAGTGTTTTTAACACAGCCATGGCACTCTAGATTGAAATTTAAAATAGAATTTGTTTTTGAGTGACTATGTCAAATATTGACATATGATATGTCATTCGATTCAGAGTGTCATTTTCTATCGAATAAAGTAAAAACATACCGAGGGTGCCATTTAAAAACCAAAAATTGTAGTAATTTCCGGTGAAACCGGAAGTGACCGAAAACCATTGCATACGTCAATCAATCCCAAAATATGTCATATACTAACATACTAAATTTCGTTGTTTTATCTGAAAAAATAAAAAAGTTATAGGGGTGAGCCACTTTTGAGACGCACCCGGTATATATTTACAATTACCGAGTGTTAAAATTAAAATTAAAATATCTATCTTATTTATTATTTTCAAAATAAAATAGAATTTTTTTAAATAAAATATACAGTGTCACAAATTTACAAGGTAATTAAAAAATAACTGCTAAAAAGTTTTTTGTAAGTATTTCACCTGATATCATAATTTTATGTACTTGGCAATAGTTTACAGTACGGTTTTTGTGTGTCATGTACGAATAATATCATAGTTTTATTATCTTGTATTTATTTATTTATTGATAAATTAAGTTGTTAATAAATAAATAAATAAATTTAACCGTATTGTTGCTATATGTATATTAGATCATTTGCTACGTTCTTAGATTTTAAGTCCCAAACATCACTCCTAAGATTTTGCCCCGCTAGAATAACCATCCGCCTCACTGTGGAGCGCTGGTCCCTGCGTGACGTAAGCATCCACGGCGACTAGGACAGCTGCGATTTGACGCGATTGAACAGTCCTTTAGAATATATACAGTCCTTGATTTGAACACACCTTAAGTTGACAAAATCACATAAATACGGGTACAAACACAGAAACATAGGTAAGCTCTTCAACATGAAGAATATATAGCCATAATCTCACTCTTAAATTGCAAGGATTTTAGTTCGTAAACTAACCCAGAATCTTGCTATTTTGGATGACTAAAACTAATGGAGTTATCATATTAGCCAAAATTATAAATGATTATTATACAAACTAACTAAAATAACTGGTTAATATGAAAACAAAAATGTAAAATTATGACATTATCCAATACGAATATATAGTTTGCAAACTAACCAGCTAGTTGGTAAACTACCCGTTGACACTGCCTGTTGTTTTGCAAGAATGGGCGGATTCCATCAAAATAACAGTGCTTTTAGTTAGTTTGTAAAATTATCCATTTTAGCCGTAACATTTCGATTCAAAAATGTTCTATATTTCATTATCTTTCTAGATATGAATATGCTATTTTCCAACTATTTTCATTTGAATTCCTAAACAAAATTAACGCCTTGGTCAGGACAGAGAAAGGTGAAAAAGTTCATTCACCAAAATTTACGACAGATATGGCAGGCAAAGACAAAAAGACTGTAAAAACTGTAATACGTCTACTAACAGAGGGCATTGCAAGTTTAATCTAAAACTGATGAAACTAATGAACAAAGCCATATACGGAATTTGTCAATTGGAAGAAGAAACGGCAAAACACATTTTATGTCAGTGCGACAGCCTGGCAAATGTGAGGGTCTTTGTATTATGGTATAATAAGCCACTGATAAAGAGCTATATGAAGTGTTCAGTCTCCGTGTTATTAGACTTTTTGAAAAGGATTATAAAACTGGAGAATGTAACCTAGAAATCAGAAGAGGATTAAAACAGATTTGAAAAGGTCACAGTGGAACAAGCAACCTCATAAATTTGATGTAATCTAGATTTAAAACATATTTTTAAGTCTATTTAAGTTTTAAAAATGTTATATTTTTAAATATATAATAAGGATAGGATATAAAAATATATACTTATAGATAAATATACTTTTATAATTTGAATTTGAAACTTTCATAGAGTTTATAATGTTTAATTGAATTTAAATATTAGTACATTTTAATGGTATTAATTCTGAACTACTCTATAATATTATATAAAATAATATAAAAAAGAAGAATGAAATTATTGGGCAAACCTACAGTAAGATTAGCCATGAAACATGGCTAAAATACGACTATCCATAGACACTTAGTGTTTCTGCCTTCCAGCTTCATCAATACGGGAGGAATCAGCAACGATGAACTAACGATCCTGAAAAAATAAAAAGAAGAAACAAACGAGGCACTAGGCAACATTTGCAACCTGGTGGGTTTGCCCAATAATTTCATTCTTCTTTTTTATTATAGTCCCCACGATAACATCTTTTGTTTATTAAAATAATATAGATATACAAACCTAATAAATACGAAAATAATTAAATAATAAAACAGAAAAAATCCGACCCTAGTATCATAAAAAGGGAGTAGGCGAGATCTCTGTCGGTATCGCCAGTTTTTTTTTAATAAAAACATTCTGAATTAATTCGGCAAGTATACCGGTGTTTCTCAAAAGTTTCTCACTTCAATAACTTTTTTATTTTTTCAGATAAAAATCGAGATTTGGTATGTTAGTATATGGCAGAAATTCGGATTGATTGAAGTATTCAATTGTTTTCGGTCATCTGTTTTCACCGGTTTCACCGAAATCATAGACAAACAAATAAAAAGAGACTGGCAAATTAAATGGCAAGGAGAGGGACAACGTTCCCGTAGAGCAACTCAGAACGCAAAATTCTATTATATAATCTATTTATGTTGATCTGCTCATTGCGTCTATTGGGCCCACTATCTCATTCTAATATAACAAGAGAGAAAGAAGCAGCCATATAAAACGTAATTTCTAAATAGAAATTAGAACAATCGCCTTTCGTTTTCGTCGTCATGACAACCAAGATGACAACATCATGACATGATCATGAAAATGTATTGTGCCCCCTTTCTCTGATAGATATGTTAAAGACACCCGGTAAAATAAAAGTAAGTAGTTATATTTATCATCTTATTAAGAAAAAAGTAGAAGTAGTAATGTCAAAAATATTTCGAACCTCTCTTAATATAACAAATTATGTAATACAATTATTTTTTTTTATTTTTTGGGTAGGTAGTTTATAGCTGGTTTATAGTAACCAGAAACTTTATTAATATACCAATTTTACTTTTGTTTTAGGATTAAAACTGGACTTGAAAATGGTTCAGGATCATGATTCTCGTAAAGTCTTCTTTGCTTGGATATTCCCTTTGTTATTGCAATTAGACAGTTTTTTCGAAAATGAGATTTTTAATGCCCTTTAAAGAAATTGGCCGATCGTTTCCTGCAACAGTCAGTTCTTCTGCATTTAAAATTGGTAGGTGGGTGGAATAAACACAGTTATTTTTTGTTATTATATAATAAAAAGTTTATTTAATTTTATGTATAAATAAATATGTTTATAAAACAGTACAATTTTTGCTTTTTTTATAATTTCCCTTATAATGGTAGTATTCTTTCGTTCTGAATGAAACTGCAAATTTTCACTTAAACTAATTTATTACTAAATTAAAAATCAGTTTAAGTGAAAATTTTCAGTTTCAGAATGAAAGAATACTACTAATAATGGCTAATTTAAATTTTCCGCCAGCCAGAATGTGCGATAATGTCTTACGATACGTTTTATACCTATCTCTTTCTTTTTCATATAAAGCACACATAATAAAAAAAGATAGCAATAAAGACGTACGTCCTGCCATGGTCCTGCTAATTGGTTTCAAAATTGTTATTCTGAGTTGCGCTACGGGAACGCGGTCCCACTCTTTACCATGGGATTTGTCAGTCTCTTTTTATTTGTTTGTCTATGACCGAAATTTTTTACTTCACTTGATAGAAAATGGCATTCTCAATAGAATGGCATATCATATGTCAACTTATAATCAACTTTTGACATTTCAACAATGCAATTTTTAGACTGCCATGGACACAGACGTAAAGACAATTTCACTCGAAATACCAAGCGTGAGGTACCAAATTATTCATAAAAAAGTGTTTTTCCAAATATTCTAATGAGCTATGATGCCATTTGAAATTTAAAATACGTTTTTTAAGCTAGAAAATCAAAAGTTGGTTAGGTTAGGTTAGTATCTCGATTATTTATTTGATAAAATAAAAAAGTCATAGGGGTGAGCCACTTTTGAAAAACACCCGGTATATTATACATAATTTGTCTATAACAAGTTTTCTACTTTATGAACTTAGTATTTTTCAACTGTAATTAATTCTAATAAAATGTAGATCATACATTTACATATTATGAAAAACAAAAAATTGAACTATAAGAAAAAGTAATAATTATAGATAGTGATGTAAAAATTCTAAGTAATCATTACAACGTAACAGTTACTTTACGAGGACTCGAAGTAACACTTACCATTTGAATTTAGGACTCGTTACTCGTTACTAAGCTAATTCGTTACTTTTGCGCTAGCAGTAATCGTAATCCCTGGAAATGCCCGAACCGAGGACTCGAAACTCGATACTGAAATATTCGTTACTTCGACCTAGGTCTAGTTGTTATCAATATGTTTATGTTTAAAGAGTTGACTTGACGCCGACCGGTGTTTTGGATGGCCGTTTGTTGTCGGTTTTTATTTAGGTAATTCCGCACGTTTTTTTCAATTTTAGTTGAAATAAGTAATATAAGATATTATGTAGGGGTAGAGTGTATTTTATTTTTTTATTTATAGTTGCTCGGTGGGCGCAGAATAGAATTGTTTAGATTAATACGAGTATGCCTTAGATATTAATTAAAAATGGATTCACGTTACTCACAAAAAATGTTAACATCTGAAAAAGCAGAGCAAATGTTTTTCCTCTTCAAAAAAGAATAGATATTTCGCCACTTACACTGTAAGAAAATCTACAAAATAAAAATAGTATTTTTTAATATACACTGCTGCGTTAATCCAAAGAACTTTTTTGAAGAGATGAATCCGTCACAGAGGAATAGACATTTTTTAAATATTTTTACATTTTAACAAAAATATATACATTTTACTTATTTTTACTCTCTAATGTTTGCATAATTATTAATGTAAAATACAAAGAGAGGGAGAAAAAAAAATACATTATATTATACATATATTTTCTTTGTTTTCTTTTATTTTTAATTTTATTAATATATAGTAATAATATATTATAAAAATATTATATATATTATTAAAAACTTATTACTTGGTACTTGAATACCGAGTATTGAAATTATCCTAGTAAGCCCTTACACTAGAAGAAAGTAGAAACCCCTTATAGTTTAAACCGAGCGCGCAACAAAGATCGCCGCATACAATAAGTAACGAAGTTCCAAGTCAAGCCCAAGTCTTCCAACCTGTACACAAAACAACGATTATAAAGAAACGATACTAAGTACCAAAGTAACGAGTAACTAAAGTAACTAAAGTAACGAGTCCTATTACCAAATTCCATATAAGTAACTAAAGTTTACATCACTAATTATAGACTTAAAACTTAAAAAAGTACTTAAATTAAGTTTGTATAATTATATAAATAATTGTGCCTAATAAATAGGAATATAAGCGTATAATACAAATACACTAATGTTCCAAAAATATGAAGTCTTATAGTGATGGGTTGTTATTTAACTATCTGTTATTTTATAATAATTATTTAGAAATAACATAACGCAACCGTTACTACTTCTAAAAAATAACAGATATAAAATAACGACACATAGAGATCGACCGCTCGTGAAACAAAGTCGGCACTCTGCACCGCCACGAAATTCCATGCTGCTCGAAGCAATTCCAAAAAACAATTAGTATGGATGGAAAACATGTTATTTCGACAACCATCGATACAGGCGGCGAGATACAACGGACAACGGAGTGGGAAATGCGCTACGGCGAACGTAGCTGCATCGGTCGATGCCGTCAATGGTCGTGTTGGGCTTGCAACAGCTTAAAAATAATAGGATATAAAAGAAGCAGCTTTTTTGAAACAGTTGCGGGCATAACGCCTGGCGGTCGAGATAACAGGAGTGGGAAAGGAACGCTGCTGCATTGGTCGATTGTCGATGGAGGCCCGCAACGGGTTGGAGAATAACGTATAGAAAATAAGCAGTCATTTTAGATACGTTGTTTTTTAACCTGTTACGAGCATAACAGGCGGCGGTCGAGATAATCGGAGTGGGAAAGTAACGCTGCTGCATCGGTCGATTGTCGATGGAGGTTCGAAACAGGTTGGAGAATAACCCATCAGTTGTTTTAGATACATTGTTTTTCAACCTGTTACGAGCATAACGGGCGGAGGTCGAGATATTATGGCGCTGTATGTTTCAGTACTTAGTTATTAAGTTTCAGTTACTTAGTTATTTTTATTAATATCTTTAAATATATACTTTCATTGATTTTGCTACATTTTAAAACTCTTCAAAGACAATTTTACTAAGATTTACTTTAAGAAATTGTGAATGGTGCTTAGAAATTTAGTGATTAATTTATTTATTATAAATTATAATAATGAGAAGTACCTAATAAAAAATGGAAGTAACAATTTAATTAATTATTTAGTAATATGTATATTTTTCTAAAGAAATGCTTTAGAATAAAAAGTTTTCAGTTTTTCTATATTTTCCCAGTCTTAAATTATTACAATAGTTGCAAAGTAATAGTTTTGTATTTTTCACCACTATCTAAGACTATTACTGTTATAGATGGTGATAAGAATAAAAACACTGTGTTAAGAAAAGACTGTTTAAAAGGTAGCAAACACATTGAGTATAATATTAATTTTAAATAATGTATATTAGTTGGTTTTGCTGCGGTTTAAAGCTCTTCAAAAAACAAATTTACTATTCAGAGATAATGATACAACAAATAATATATACTAAAAATACACTAAATAAAGATTCAACTACTAAAACAAGTAAAGGCTGAATTATACAGACTTCAAATTATTTGGAATCGCATTAAGAAAAATCAATCTCTTGAAATACTATAATTAGATATTACCCTTGTTTATACAGTATGTCCCCGGATTGTCTTTATAAGAGGAAATAAAGAAACCTGTTATTTTTTAGCTGTTATTTTAAGCTGTTTTTTATAAATAACTATAACAGTTTCAACTGTTATCTAAAAATAACAGTTTTGCCCCACACTAAAGTCTTATCATATATTGTAAAGATATTTTTAAATTCTACTAATTTATCTTTTAATACAGCATTTATTTTTTTTATTTCATTAAAATATAACTATCATAAAACGTAAAATTATGCAAATTTTACAACTAAATTTGCAATGATAAAATTTGATACATACATATATTATTTTTCAAATAATATATTAAAGTAAATAAATCCCAATAGTATAAAAATAATATACCAAATTAATAAAGAAATATAATAACATAACTAGAGGTAGTTAATAAAGATAATTTAGCGTTTTAACTATTTCTAAACACATTTTTAAATTAATAATTCTATTTAATGGTGGCATAAAAACTGTTTAATATGTAACAAGAATAATCCTCATTAAAAAACCGGCACTAAGAAGTATTTTCTAGTAAAGGTAAAAGGTAAAAGTGGGATGGAAGTTGTATTTAAAGGCGACGGTAAATAACGCAAATATAGAGTTGGCCTTTGCGAAAAATTGTACCATTTGTTTCGATTAAAAAGAACCGTGACGTATGTTGACATTTATATTCGAGTGAAAAGACCAAGGACGAAGAATGTATTTGAAAATTCATAGGTTACAGTATGAATTCTTTGACTTAGTCTTGTTGATTCTACATTAGCTTATTCAAGTTACAAAAACCACTGGTTAGAGTTGAAAAAATTATATATTTACGATAATGTTTACAAAAACAATTGTATACATCAAGATGTTTTCAAAGATTTTGTTGTTTTAAAAATATGTTTTAATAATAATCTAGAAAAAAATACTATAAGCTATCATCCAATTTTAATATGATTGTCTTTTTGTTAATTAAAAAAAATTTAAAATTGTAATTTAAAAATAGATGCAGTTTTTATTTGAATTACTTAAAATCGGCTTGGCCGAAATTTTCAAATTTGGCATAGTTTGCTTAAAACCTATTTACAAAACTTGGCTATAAAATGTATTAATCTATTCAACGCAATTTCGCTTAGTTTTCCAACGGCAAACAGTCGACAATATAAAGGACGAAGAAGCAATACTCACCGCCAGTGTTCGTCTCCTGTCCCTTTTCTTCAAAAGCAAATTCCTTTTAAGCATGGCCCTCAACTGGGCCAAATATATTCTCCATCGACCCTGGTCGCCCATTTTCTATCAATAGCCCTTCGACTTCCGTATGAACAACGCTTTTGCCCGGCAGCAAAATTGAGGAGAGGAGCTTTTTCAGCGCGCTATATTGGAAAATGATTGGTAGCTAAGTCCTTGTGAACCATTTCTGTAAACAAAGAAAGAATTTACTATTACAAGTTGCATAAAATAAGACAATAATCAAATAATATGATTTTATAACGAAGTATTGTAAAATAAAATTAGTTTTTATTCAGTGGTCTAGCTTTACTTCATTTATGTAAAGTGCATCTCTAAATTAATGTGCTTTAGAAGTTATTAGATAATTCCAATATTTAGATTGGATGTTTATTGCAAATTAATATTTTACAATGGGATATATCGACACTTCCGGAAATACCGGAAATTGATAACAGATTTCACATTTTAAATGAATATACCGGTCTTCGTATGCTATTGGATGTTTTGAATTGAAATTTATAGAATCTTATTAATTTTTTCGAAATGGAAACATCATTTCAAGAACAAAACATTTCACTAAGACAGATTTAATTTATTACAGGTTAGGTTAGGTTAGGTTAGGTTAGGTTAGGTTAGGTTGCTGGGGTTTGGGATCATATTTGATCCCTCACTCGGAGGCCTTGGACCCATTGCGATACCCCTGTATTGCTTAAACCAAGGCCAACTTTATAAATAATGACAGAAGTACATAGAGAACTAACATCATTCTTCCATAATTTTAGAAGAATGTTCAGTAATGCATTTGGAAACTAAAATTGACAAATGGTTAGATACACACACGAAATACAGATAGTAAAACCCACTGAATAAAATAACTCACTAGCCATTAGTTTTTATAGCCATTCATTCATTTGATTGAATCACAAACTTTGACGCTTAGATTATATGATTTTTATTCAACAGTATTTTTTCTCAAAAAATGGTAAATTTTGGATATAAACTGTTATACCGGATGCGTCTCAAAAGTGGCTCAAAAAATCGAGATTTGGTATGTTATATGACATAAATTAGGATTGATTGACTTATTCAATTGCTTTTGGTCACTTCTTGTTTCACCGAAAATGACTACAACTTTTGATTTTTAAATGGCACTCTCGGTATTTTTTTACATTATTTGATAGAAAATGACATTCTGAAGAGAATGACATATCATATGTCAACTTTTCACATTCTTGCTTAATAAAAAATCGTATTTTAAATTTCAATCTGGATTGCCATTGCTATGTTAAAAACTTTAATTCTTAATCAAGGAGCCTTGGAAAAATATATTTGATCGTCTAATGTTTTAGTGTCTTGTCCTGGCCGGTTAAAAAATGCCCAAATCATATTTTTAATCATACCTCAATTTTTTCGAATGGAACGAGGTTGGCTCATTAGCATATTTGGAAAAAGCATTTTTTACGAATAATTTGATTCCACACACTTGGTATTTTCACAAATTTTCGTTACGAACCGCAAGTCATAATTTCAAATAAACCATATGCGAAAATGTCAAAAGTTGACATATGATATGTTATTCTATTCAGATTCAGACTTTCTATCGAATAACGCAAGAAAACTGAAGGTGCCATTTAAAAATCAAATGTTGTACTCATTTCCGGTGAAACAGGAGGTGGCCGAAAACAATTGAATGTTGTCAATCAATCCTAATTTATATCATAATATACTAACATACCAAGTTTGCTTTTTTAACTGAAACAATACAAAAGTTATAGGGGTGAACCACTTTTGAGACGCACCCGGTATATGTTTTGAAGAAACTCAATCATATTCAATCAGTCATAATCATAATTCGTATTCCTTCCATATATTTTTTTGGCCGACGGACTGAAGCGTATCGGAAACAGTCTTGTCGCGTTCTTACATTTGTACAGTACATCTGGTGGATCTGTGTCTATGAAAAGAATGCGAACAAAAAACATTTAAATAAACAGCAATATATTTTATACGTCGATTTGACGAGTGCGTCACTGCAAATCGCTCCGCCCACTCATTTTATTGGCTACTTGCAAATTTGTTGAATTTTTATTGATGGGACGCGTCGTCTATTTTTTTACGAAAAACATCGAGAGAATATCGTTTCCCCTCTCACGGATACCCCTTAGCTACAGAACGGACAGACGTACTGTACCACCTCTGTTAAAATTTTGCTGATATTTATTTATTCTTTCACCTCTTAATTAAATCTATTACCTTTTTCAAAAGATACAAATTTTTAAAATAAAACTTTCGTAATGATATAAATTGTGCAATAAAAAGTATGGAACTGATACGGAACGGAAGCTTACGTATAGCGTCAATACAATAAAAAAATACGGAACGGATATGGAATGGATGTGGAATGGAAACGGAAGGTATAGTGAGAATCAACCTTAAAACGGACATTATAAGGAAACTGCAGGTTGCACAACACTAGATGGAACGAAATATGCTCGAAGTAAAGCAAGAAAGGCCGTGAAAAATAGAGTGGATACGACAAAAGACCCAGATAACAGATGTTATCAATAGAATCAAATCCTTCAAGTGGCAATGGGCAAGACACCTGGCAAAAAGGACGGACAATAGATGAACTACAAAAATTACAGCCTGGAACCCACGAGGAATTAATAAACCTAGATGAAGACCGACCCTGAGATGGGACCATGATATTAGAAAATTAGCAGGTATAACTTGGGTCCGCATAGCTAACAATAGACAACAATGAGCCCAACTACAAAGAGAGTATCTAGATATGTGAGGGATACTACACCATAATTGGAAGTTGTTGAATAAGCTAAGAATGATCATAATGATGATGATATTTTTTTAAAGCTGTCAGTATTTTCGAGGGTACCATTATATCGAAAATGTTATTAATCGAAGAATCTCATTGTAAAAACATTGATCATGAAAAATAAATGAAGCCAATCTAGATACCTATTAGTGTTCTCTAGAAACTTATAATGTAGTCTCTGAAAGGATAAATTCTATATATAATTCGGTATATAAAGACAAAATTGATATACATTATACATTATAGTAAGATCTTATGAAAAATTTGAAAATGATTATGTAAATAAAACTTTAAGAGAAGAACATATTTGAATCGCTCTAAATATTTATTAAAGTAAGTATGAATTAATTACTGTAATGAAGAGTTGTGAGGGTACAGATTACCCAGAGTAAGTCTTCTTGCTGCAATGCTGCGCACTCACAACAATGAGAACGATTTCATTTAAAAAAACATAGAAAATATGCAATAAATATAGAAAATACGACATAATACCAATATCTACTATTAAGTCTGCTCTATTTTAATTTATAATATATGCATCGGTTTTTTTTCTGAAGATTAATTTCTTAAAATAAATATTGTTGGACTGATAAATTACTTGACACCTAACTATTCGAAAACCAATATTGAAATGAGAACGATTTCATTTAAAAAAACATAGAAAACGTCGTTCATGTAGGGCGAAAAGTAATGCCTAGCCATAGGCATTTTGCCAGAGCACCTGTAGCTCCGTGGGTTGAGGCTATCGCTCGTGAGCGAATGGTCCGGGGTCCAAATCTCACGCCGACCAAGACTTTTTATATATTTTTTGCTTATAGCGTGATCTTATTGCATTGGTTTCTAATTTTGTTGATTGGTTAATTATTTTATGGCTGGTTAGCGTGGTTATTCTGGAGGGTGTTAATTCATTGGTTGGGTTGGAGCATTTTGGTGGGGGTTATTGGTTTTTACCAATTTATATTTGTTTTTAATTTTTTTTATCAGTGTCGAGGTTAGTTGGTGCTGGTTAAATTTGCTATTGGTGGGGTGGATAGCGTTGGTTAGTCCTTATAAAAATTCCTATATTTCATAAAGCCGTCATGTGCGTCACATCAACGACGTCATACCTATTAACGGCGTTTTAGTAAGCTACCGTTTAACGGCAGTTTAAGTACAGCCAAATAAATATTGTTAGACTGATGAATTACTTGACACCTAACTATTCGAAAACCAATATTGAAATCGTTCAACCGTATGAGTTGAGCTGCTGTAGTTTCGAAAGCGTACTAAATCTGCAATTTAAACTTGCCGAATCTATCTCAACTTCGCAATCATTTAAAGTGCATTTACAATTCGATCAAGATTTAGTTAGAGTAGAATCTTATAGTTTAAGTATTCCCTACAATCATAACTTTAAAGATTTATTCATTGCTGAAGTCTGTAAATTTTCAATAAATTGTTACATCGTCTTGTCTTCATCGTTTTACTAGTTTTAATCATTTTTATATGAATTAATAATTTTAAGATATTACTCGTAGGTATTTTAATAGTAGAAAAAATTATATTTAGTGAGTCGCATGAAAATCCATTTTGTTTGATCTACATGTAATTCCCCACCATATTTCCATTATCAAATTATGTAATAAGAAGATTGAAGATGCACGCATCACATCTCTGTTCTGCATTGCAGTTTAAAAGAACATCTTGACTTTATTCCAACATTACATTAGGTTTACCATTAAATTATCGACGTCATTCCCCAGCAGCCTCTTGACGTCGTTTTTTCGATCAGGATGTTATTTATTTCAACTCGACTTAAAATTTTTGTTGTTGTCAACTCTTGCCAAATTATAGGTTATAATTTTGTGTCAAATTATGTCAAACAGAAATGATAAATATTTTGCATTTTGGACTGTGTTATTACGTATGTTTCGTGTTTTTTTTTTTAAATTAAGTGGTAGAAAACTCAAGGGAAAATTAAGTGTTGACCCAGACTATAGTTTACAATTTACATTCGGTGCCCAGAGACAGTTCGCCAGAGATTATGGCCAGAGAGTTGTATTAGCCACTAATAAAGTTTGTATACCATCTCGTATATGGTACCAAAAACTGTAGTATCTGTAAAATAACAGCACATAATAGGTAAATAATAAATTTAAGTACTGCAGAGAGATAATGTCAAAAGATACTGGTTTACAAAAATTAAAAAATTATATTTAATGAGTCGCATGAAAATCCATTTTGTTTTTATCTACATGTAATTCCCCACCATATTTCCATTATCAAATTATGTAATAAGAAGATTGAAGATGCACGCATCACATCTCTGTTCTGCATTGCAGTTTAAAAGAATAGTAATATATTCTGTTTTATTT